GGGCAGGAGGTAGACGGCGCGGTAGAGGTGGACGAGGGCGCTGTCGCGGTAGGCGAGGGCGTGGTGATGTAAAGCGGCGCGGTTGGAGGGGAGGGGCGCGGGGGGCTGCCACGAGGCCAGGGCCTTTTCCGTGGCTGCGCAGAGCGACTCGAGCTCGCCGCGGAGGACGGCGGCCTTGAGGTGGTTGCTGCCGTCCTGCATCATCTCCGGGGACGAGGCCGCGGCGAGTTCTTCGAGGAGGGGGCGCAGGTCGCACAGGCGGTGGAGGATGGACCAGAGGTCGGCTGAGACGCCGTAGACTTGGTCGATGGTGTCGGGGGTGCTTTCGGGACGAGGGTGAGGGGACTGGAGGGGCGAGGAAGGGGTTTGGGGCATTGGTCGGGAGTCGGCGACTGCGCTGCAGCCCTGCGAAAGGGCGATCATGATATCGTAGGATTGAAAGGTCTTCGATTCGGGGTCAGCTAAAGAAGAAGGGTTGATTGCGAGATGGCTCAAAGATCGAGGGGCACTTACACGTCTGAGAAATGACATGGTTGGGTCCTCTATGTCTGGGAAAAGCCCAAGGAGGTTGTTGGCTGCGTGGAGGTGCGATAAGATGCTGGAAACATCCTCCCCGACGAGCTAAGGCAAAGCAGATTGTTAGGACAAGTCCCTTCTCTGCTCAGTGTGGCCATTGGCACTGCATCGAGAGCCCACTCACCGCTTCATACTTGATTAAGAGGAGGATAGTGGCCAAGGAGCATATGGCATCTGATAAGTCACTGTGGACCTGTGATGACAGGCCAAGGAGCGTAGCTCTGTGGAAATCAAGGGAGCTTTTGCCCGTGATGATATCCATGGCCTCCAAATGAGCACTCACGAAGGCGCAGATGGCATTCCTGAAGGTTTCATTGGTGAAGGACAGAGGAAGGAGAAGTTGCCTCCAGTCATTATCGCGGGCGAAACCAGTGAAGACGATACGCGGTGAATAGTCGTTGAAGAAGAATCTTATGAGCTCGACAGACCGCCGGCTGGCGAAGGCGACGCATGGAGAGGGGCAGGTCGAGGAGAACGGCAGGCTGGTGGTGCTTGTTGCGGGTGATGTGGATTGCTCGTTCAAGCAGCTTGACGCCGAAGACATGGGGGACGAAGCAGACTTTCCACTGCTGGAACCTCTCGTCCGTCGTGATGATACGGAGCCTGAAGGGCTACTCAAGCCGGGACCAGGACTGGTGGGCGACTCGCACAGAGCTGGGTTAATTGGGTCCTCATGGTGATCATCAGTTTCATTTGGGGTGTCCGTCCTTCTCATTGACCGTGTTTTCCTGGCCATGGCCCTCTGAATCTCCCTGTACTCCTTCTCCAATTCCTCTTGCAGACTCATTGTCGTAAGCGTGGTTGCGAAACTCGCCTGTGTGTTGGCTGGTATGAATTGGAGAACATGGTTGCCAAAAGGAACTCGCGTCGAGCTCCAGCGCCCGCCCTCGGAGCTATGCTAGTAAATAAGAAAAAAAAAGAGAGCCCACTCCTAGCAAGATGGGACGACAGGCTCTCTCCAAGACGCAAAGCAATGGTGACATCGCGGCGAACTTGTGGGACAGAGCATGCCTCTTCGTTTACCCACAATTCGGTTGTGCGAGTCCCAGAACAGCATCTCAGGAGGACTATCCCCAGATATCGGATTGCGGAGAAGACATTCCAACTGGAGTGTGGGGACGCAGGGAAGACGGTTCGAGCTCTTTGGGGACCTGATTGGCCCCGAGGGCCTTCGCTACCGACGGATTTGCACTCGTTCCAGGCTCGAACCCTGGGTAAAATGAAGTGTTGACGTGGTTCTCGGGTCGCCTTGGACCGAAACGTGAGGGCAAGGTGCATGTAGGTAGGGGAACGTCGTCTTCCCCGCATGAGCCTAATGCACTGGGTCAAGAACGGGATGGCTTGATTGACTGGCGGTCATGCCATTATTGGGGAAGAACTTGGCATTATATGACGAGGTTGGAAGGTTGCAGTGGCAGGTCCACGGCCAATGGCGCCGCCTGGCCAGTTCGCCACATGCAGAGAGCTGCGAAGCATATGATGCATAAAATCATCTCGGAGGCCGCTCGAGGAGTGGCTCGGCTGTCGTGATGCCCCTGTCCATTTCCCCTGGGCATCGGCCAGTGGCCGAGCGTTTCGGCCGGCTGGGCCCTGGTTGCAGCCACACTTGATCATTTGCCAGGTTAATTGGATGGGGACTAGCCAGACGTGATGGAGCAGAAGCCTGATGAGCGGAATTCGTAGCTCCATTCAGTCTTGGCGGCTCACTGGGCCGAATTGTCCCGGGGCCCTCGTCCAAAAGCCCGAGTTCCGTGGCTAGAGTTCTGGTCTGTTACCTGGTGAGTGACCGGAAATGGACTCGGTGAGCATAGACTGTTAATTTAGCACGGACAAGGATGTGTGTTTGCTCTATCCGTCAACTTGCACCAAGTAAATAACTGGGCAGCCTTAGATACATATATTCATATCATCATGTGGTCAGTGTAATACTGCCTATTCGAAATCTTCCAGTGTAAGTAATAACAGAGAGAGATAGAGAGACAAACAAGAGAGGAAGAAGAAAAGGAAAGAAAAAAGAAAAAAGAAAACCGATGACTCGCTCTGTACCTGTTTATGAATATGTGTATACAAAGAATCTAGATGCGATCATTGCCAGCCATCCTTGTCTTCACGTCTTACCCCCCCCCCCCCACTCAACTCCATGCCCCGTCGACCATGTATGTTGAACCTGAAATAAAAGAACTCTCGGGGCCGAGGAGAAACGCCAAAACACTCGCCGTCTCCTCTACAGTCCCATACCGTCGGATCGCGCTTGAGGTGGCCTCGGGCCCCTCCTTTAAGCCCTTCTCATCCCACTCCTTCTGCATCAGCGGCGTGTAGATGGAGCCAGGCCCGACCGCGTTGACCCTGATGCCGCGGTCGCCAACCTCCTGGGCGGCGGACTTTGTGAGGCCAATGATGCCGTGCTTGCTGGCATCGTAGGCAGAGTGCCGCGCGAAGCCCCTGACGCCGTGGATGGAGCTGACATTGACAATGGACCCTCCCCTGACGAGGTTGCGAATCTCGGCGCGCATGCAGTACATGGTGCCGGTGAGATTGACGGCAATGATCTTGTCCCACTCATCATCCTCCATGTCCTCGACGGCGGTGAGCCCATGCACCTTGCCAATGACGCCTGCGACGTTGGCGGCGCCGTCCAGGCGGCCGTACTCCTTGACGACCGAGTCGATCCAGGCATCCACCTGCGCCCTCTTGGAGACGTCGACCCGCGAGATCATGAAGGGTGCGTCCCGCTGTGTGAAGTAGTCCTCGGCCTGCTTCATGGCCCTGGGGTCGATGTCGGCGATGCACACCGTGGCGCCCCTGGAGGACAGCATCTGGGCGGTGCCGTAGCCAATGCCGCTGGCACCACCGGTGATGGCGTACACCTTTCCCTTTAAGACGGGCGGGTAGGCTGATGCCGTCTGCTGCTGGGGGGTCTCGGCGGCGACGTGGTGACTGGTTGTGGCAGGCTTGTGGACAATCACGGGCTCCGAGGCCGGTGCGGCGGGCTGGGCCGCGTCTCTGCTGCTGGAAAGCCCCATTGTGCTGCTGGTGCTGCCGGAGGACATGGAATGGAGGGTAGCGAGCGCGTGGGAGGAATGGCTCTAGCTGAGGGCGGTGCACGAGGGTCTGGAGAGACGGTTGGGGATGATGCGAGTTCATATGACTGGGCATGGGAAGAGCAGAGAAGTCGATCCCTCCCTGCCATGATGGAATTCTATTTAACCCGATCAACGAGATCAGCCAACCTTACGAACATCTCTTCTGGTTCCGTCGCGGAAAGTGATATTCTTCAGTGACACTGGAGGGCCAACGGGCAGAAATTCCCGACGGGTGAAGAGCGTTAATGGAAGCTGCCCACAAGATCCAGAAAATCGGCATATAGCCGGGTGGATAAGCTCAGTGTTAGCGGCGGGGCACACTGATAATTAGTGGACAGACGGGCAGCTGAGCGTGAATCGCCAAGTCTCTCGTTCGACCTGAGCTATGAGTCAAGTATTTGGTTATTCTCTCCGTGAGGTGAGAGAACTGAACCCTGTTGATGTTCTGCTGGGGGCCATGGTGGGAAGAAATCCCGCTCGCTATAAGATTGTCCGATTTGGGGGAGTGATGGACAGCCCTCTTTGACCTGGTGACCTCGCTGATGATCTGGTGGCTAGCTACACTAGGTAGGTAGGTAGGCATATGCAGCAAAGATGTCACGGCATGGCATGCTGCCGGGTGCAATATGAGGCCATCAAGGTATTGCCATGGCCTTTATCTAGGAACGGCACTTACGGATACGAGATGGCAAGAGCCGGGAGGACAAGCCACGGCGGTAAGTTGGTAAGGACATGGCACGGCAGCAGACATCTACGAAGCATCTGCATTATTATGGCCAGCCAATAGTCAGCCCAGTCACATGTCATCACACCTCACGGGCTGCATAGTCCGGTCGGCATTGTCCGTTTGGCTGCCGATATGGACCAGAATGCGACGCTGGACTCTGACTAAAGCTTCCCATGGGACTGGCTGGTGAGCAGCAGTGCTGAGATCGGGTCGTGACCAAGTGCTCTGGGCTCCCGAAATCCCGTCTGCTAGCCAGCAGATGGCCGGGGCCTCAGGGGGCTTCCGGGGGCTTTTGAGGGGCTGGACAGGGCTGTTTCTGGGGCGGGTGGGCCTGGCCTCTCCGCCTGGGGACAGCTCCCCCGCCTGTCATAGGTGGTAATATTCCCCCAGCGCCTTACACCAGCTGCCCACTTATCCTACTTATTCACTCACGATCCCATCCTTCAGTCACGCCCCATCTAGATGGCCTTTTCAAAAGCCCGACGGCAAAATCAGACTGTGTGCTCCTTTGCTTGCTTGCTGCTGGCTGACGCTCACTCCCTCGTGGGCGGTATCAGCATCGCCAGACACAACATACATACTTACTGCCCGTCGGTCTATCTGCGAGCCCCTCGGCCCCTTGCATTATCATCTGTATCAACCGAACCGAGACACAAGCCAGCTCCACAAATCACCCAATTGCGAACTGCCGTTGCCTTCGTTGTGTCAGCTAAACCCGCCTGCTCATGACCATGGCCCATTCCCCACCGCAGGCGAGTCATCCCTGGCCTCCCATATCGGGCACTGAGGACCAAGTTTCCCATGTTGCCCATGCCAGGGCTAGGAAGAGAACGAGAATGGCCTGCGATAAGTGCAGCTCGTCTCGAACCAGATGTGACGGCCTTTATCCATGGTGAGAAACGTCTGTTCTAGATTCATGTGACCCTGTCATAAATCATCCTTTGCCACTGTTCCCGGTGTACTTACCTACCCTTGCTGATCAACCTTATATTTCTTTTAGTTCAAGATGTCAAGGTATGTTGTGCATAGAGTCACATATATATCTTCCCCCGCGCAGAGGACGGCTCGTTATTGGTTCTGTTAGCGTATCACTGCTTGTTCTCATGCATCTGTTCTGTTGAACCGACACCCAACCCTCGATCTCGTGTAACACTAGCTGATTTGACTGACCAATCCTGCTTCAGACTATGGGTACTCCTGCCATTACGACAGGCAGATAAAGAAACGTGGCAGGGCAAAACGGAGTGATAAGCTGGACCGAGTGCCAGAAACAGCTGCCAGCAAGAGTATCACCAATACGCCCCCATCTGACACACAGAACTCCCAAAACCAGTTTCCATCCCCGACGGAGCAAGAGGAAGACCATATATCTCCAGTGGAGAGCTACAGGAGACACTCTCTTCAGAGGCAACCCCATAGTCATGCAGCCACTTCCATTTCTTCCCTCCCTCTTGGGTCACCTCCAGGAGACACATTCTCTCTAGAAGCCCTCAACCTCCAGCCCACTCGTGGAAGTGCCCGGCAAGGGCAACAACGGCAACCACCTGCTCCTAATGGATTAGAACGTATAGTGACGAGCTGCCCCCAACCTACCACACCAAACGATGTCCAGGCCAGCCGGAATCCAGCTCAGCACCGTCATAGCATTCCCTCAGTAACCTCCAGCCCCATCTTCAACTTTACCCTGCCAACTCCGAAGCCTTTACACGGCGAGCCAAACTTCGGTATTGCTCACGATACATGGGCTTCAGAATGTCGGTATCGATGCCTGGACCCATTGATGCCATATTTCACTCCCGTCTTCTCGCCATCACTTGCATGTGATCTTGTCGACATATTCCTTGTAGACCCGGGCACGTCTCTTTTTCGGTGCGCATCACCCTACATATTAACCCGTATATTCCGCAAAAAGTCCCTGTTTCATCCCACAAGCCCGCGCCAAACATCACCAGCACTCCTGGCAACCATCCTTTGGTGCTGCGCACAAACTGCTGATATCTCTGCCCTGCTGGTTCCGGGCTCTCGTGCGAATCTTACCAACGCTCTCTACGAGTTAGCTACTTTCCTGATATCCAGACGTGATCCAGATCGGTGGCGCCGAATCCATGGTAGGCTCCTATAGTTTATATGGCCTTTTTTCTTCACAACCTGGCATCGTGTTCAAGCTAACCCCCTTGTAGGCGGTCTGCGGACAGAGAATGAGCAATGGCAAGAGACTATTCCTGACCATGCCATGCCCAATACGACCGAAAGCAATGAGCCCGTCGGCGATGTTGACGATGTATTGACATTTCTTTTGCTATGTATCGGCGTCAGCGCCTCGGATTTCAAGTCCGATAGCTACAAGTGGTGGAGCAAAGCTCGACGGCTGGCCATGACTCTCCGTCTCAATCAGCTAGATGCCTCCCAGGATCTTGACGTGGTCCCAACACCTACAGCCTCAGTGGCAGACATCGAAGCCAAGGAAGAGAAAAGACGGGTGTTCTGGCTCCTATTTGCTCTAGACCGCCACCTTGCGCTCTCCTTTAACCGGACATTGGAGATCCCTGATTCAATATGTGATGTCTACGGTATGTGAGCTGACAATAAATGTCCTTGAGACAAAGTCCAGACAAAGATAGACCATCTAACACTTGCACTAGCCCCTCTGCCCGAGAATGTATGGGAAAACCTTGACGAGATTCCACCCCATAGCCTGCCTCAGCGAGTGATTGGCCCGCCTACCATCATCACAGGTGCCGGGTTCTTCGAGTATTTCCTTCCCCTCATGGTGATTCTGGGCGACATCATCGAGACCCATCACAGCCAGCATCACCCACGCCTGGGCAATTTCGATTCCTCGTTCGCCCAGAGCGTCATCAAAAACACCATTGCAAACTGTGAGGGCAGCCTCGAGAGACTGGCGCACCAAATCGAGCTCGAGAGCGGCGCCGCAGGAACCCCGATGCACATCAGCAACCTGGTCACGGGTCTCAACCACCAGGATTCCTCCTCTTCAAGACGACCCCTCGTGCGCGAGCCCACGACCGCCATGGGCGACCGGTCTCACATGACCCTCGTGGTCGCGTACAGCACCTTCATCCTGCACGTCCTCCGCGTCCTCCTGCACGGCGGCTGGGACCCCATCAAGATGCTCGACAACGACGACGACTGGATCACCACCCCGCGCTTCGCCGAATGCGCGTCCCACGCCATCGCCGCCTCCGAGGCCGTCTCGGACATCATCAAGCTCGACCCGGAGCTCAACTTCATGCCGTACCTGTTCGGCATCTACCTCCTCCACGGGAGCTTCATCCTCCTGCTCTTCGCGGACCGCATGCCCCAGCTCGGGCCGAACCAGAGCGTCGAGCAGGCCTGCGAGACCATCATCCGCGCCCATGAGGTCTGCGTGGTGACGCTGAGCACGGAATTCCAGGTACGTATTTCTTTACCCAACGTATATGTCTATTTTGTTGGGAGCTAACCGACCCTGTTCTATAGAGGAACTTTCGAAGGGTCGTTCGATCGACACTTTATAGCGTTCGTGGAGGAAGTCCCGCGGGGCGCGAAGAGCACAAGGCAGCTCGGAGACAGATCCTTTCTCTGTACCGGTGGACTAGAGGCGCAAAAGGGTTGGGCATCTGATGGACTCGCTTTCATGGTGAAATAGCAAAATGAATAAAAGACAAACTCCCATGGCTCATGAAAAATTCAAAGTTTCTTGCGGGTTTCATTCAATTTCCTTTCTCTTCGGCAGAAATATTATGCCTATGACTTTAACGAGAGCTACCACGGTCACAGAAAGTTGCTTAGGCTTTGTTAAACAGCGGTTCATCTGATTCCATTTTCGTGTCACAGGCTAGTCGAATTAGCTAAGCCAACAGCCAGCACCTTATTTCGCGAGAAAGTCGCCTGTAATTCATCTACCAAAGACAGTCCTGACAAGCATCTATGTTCCTCATGCGGGGGCGAGCACTTTGTGGGGTTCCCAAGCATGTCCGAGTTTGGGGTTTCATCGGGGGTGACTCGCATCATTAAGGTGAGCACGTTACTTCTATAGTTCCCCCGATCAATGTAACATTTGAGAAATGAGGCGCAGGCAACAGTACTCCAGCGGTCTAGCTGGCAGTTGCCAAACTCCATGCAAAGGTATACCCCAAAAGGCCCTGGTGACGGCAGAGCCGAACACCTTTTGGAGGATTCTTGCACCAATTAAAGTGTGGCGCCCGGTAGGAGGGTCCGTCTCTAGAAGCCGACGGGTAATAGGAAAAATAAGCATGGTATCGAAGGGAGTCAGTCCTTTGCAGCCGAGCTAGATGAATGACTCGCCCGGTGTAGCTCTTCGACTTCTTGCTTTCTAGCGGCCCCCCGGATTTTAATATAAGCCATGTGTTCCATTTAGTTGGATCATATAAACCCGTGTCTTAAATACAAATGAATACAGACCACGAAGAAGAAAAAAGACATTGCCGTAATTCATGATACCTTTCCAAGTGTGCTGTGATTCCTTAGGACTGTTTCCTTTTCTTAAATGACAACTGCCGCCCCAGACAAACGAACTGCTTCCACATGGAAGGCTTGGGCTTCAGTGAGGCAGCGACGGTATGCGGGTGTGGGCTTGGGTGCTGCGCTGCTTGGCGACCTCGGATCGAAGGCTTAGGCTTCAAATCGATCACTGGCGGCGGGGTATCGGTATCACCGCGAGGACCACCGCTCATCATGAAGATCGAGGCAAGGTCTGCTTTGGGTTCACTCTGTGAGCTTGTCCCCGCTAGCGTTTCCCCCTGCAATGATGATATCTCATCTTCCATCTTCTCGGCCTCTTCAAACCGCTCTGTGTGATGATAAATGGCAACCATCCGTCGCATAGTGATGATGGTATCTGGATGGTGATCGCCGAGGACGTTTCTTCGGCGTTCTAGGACTTCAGATAACAGTTTCTCTGCCTCTTTCACTCTTCCTTGATGAATGTACGTCAAACCGAGTTCCGACAGCGCGGTGAGGGTGTGGGGGTGCGACTCCCCGAGCACCTCTTGGCCGAGCTTCAGAGCACGAACTTGCATTCCTTCAGCTTTGGCGTGCTGGTTCTGCTGGTCGTATATCATCCCCAGCTTGGCCATGGTCCAGATAGTCGATGGGTGTTTCTCGCCGAGGACTTCCCGCCTCAGTTTCAGGACCCTCAGTTCGATTTCCTCCGCCTCGCCGTATTGAGCCATCTGGTGATATGTATTGCCCAATTGTGACAAAGCCCATATTGTATCAGGATGTCTGTCTCCTAGCACATTCTGGCGCGTTTTGAACACGGCAAGGCCAATTTCTCTTGCCTTGTCGTGCTGGCCAAGCACATCGTAGATGGTAGCGAGCCGTCCTCTAGTCCACAGGGTATCTGGATGTGTCTCGCCAAGAATCCGCTGCCGCAAGTCGAAAACCTTGGCCTCAACTTCTTCCGCTTTGCCATAGATGCCTTGCTCATAGTAGACGCCAGCAAGGCGCTCCATGCTGTCCATGGTCTTTGCGTGCATCCCCCCGAGAAGCCTCGACCGAAGCGTATATGCTCTGGTAAGAACTAGCTCAGCCTCCTTCCACCTGCAGCTGCATATGAGATAGCTGGACACGTCTTGAAGTAGATCAGATACCTCCACTTCCTTCTGACAAAGTTCTGCCCATTCGCTTACACACATAGCATGGGTCAGATAATTTTCGCATTCGAACCAGGAATCACCAAACGGGTCTGGAAATAGATTTATGATGGTCTGCAGCGCCATGTTGGAGAAGTATAGCTCATCTTGTCTGTCATGACCTTGCCTTAGGCCATAACGAATGGCCTCCTGCACAAGGATGTGCATTTCATAGCAATTGCCGTCCGTGTCTAGTGGCCTGAGGAAGGAGAAATCGACTAGACGTTGAAGAGCGTCAGCGACGTCGTCCTGGGAGAAATCTATCCCGGCTGCCGCAATGATGCCAAAACGAATCCGCTGGCCGTCGGTGAATGCCAAAATGTGAAGGATTCGATACGCTACCTCACTCTCCGATCGAAGGCGTCGCATGCTAACATTCCACGTCTGAAGGACACCGGACAAAACTCCTGGCCTGGGAAATTGTCGTCTCGCTTCGGGTTCTTTGAGGATGCGCCACCGAGAAGACTCGTTGCTCAATTTGAATACGACTCGGCTGATGGACCGTTGCCTCCGCTGGATATATGCTCCAACTTGTGAGATGGCCAAAGGGAGTCGCTGCAGGTTGTCAACCAGGACAGTAGCCGCAGAGTGTTCCGCGGAGTGAATGGACCTCTGGCTTGTAAGTTCCAGAAGTCGCACTGCTTCGTTCAGCGTCATTCCCTTGACCTCGACACCCCTATATGGGTTAACAAGCGTCCCGACAATGTTCCCATCGCGACTGGTCCAGAGGAGGGTCCCGCCTCGACCCCGAGGGATGTAGTTAAACAAACTATGAGCCTTGGCCACAGGTCCAACACCATACACAGAAAGCTGATCAGCACTGTCTAGGATAAGGACCCATGAGGGAAGGGCCTCAATACGGTCGCGCACTGCCAGCAGGACGTCTTCGATATTGCCGAAAGAACCTAGTTCTATGCCTAGCTCCCTGGCGATAATTTGGTAGTCTCGAACAAATGTGGTTTCATTATCTGCGTGCACCCAGAAGATCGAGCACTCGGGGTCCTGGCGTCTGCGATAGGCATAGTCTAGGGCAAGCTGGGATTTCCTGTTTGTATGTTTATTCGATTTAGCAGGGGCCCTAGGAGACAGGATCAGGTTGGTTGGACGACGACATACCCAGAGCCACCGAGGCCCCAAAGGGCTGCACTGTTGAATTCTGAAGTGGATGGAAGGAGCGTGTCAAGCTGTTCGACCAAGTCCGGCCGGCGGACAAAGTCGTCATTTTGGGGATGAGGGATAGCACAAGGCTGAGGCTGTACTGTCGATGAGCTGATGGTGGTTGAGCTGGGAATGTTGTGGAAAATACGTAGTGGCAGTGGTACTTCGGGAGGCATCGGGGGGAGAATCACTATGACTCCGGGCTCGTTGCTGTGGCCAGCGCTGGAGGTAGAGGAGCGTGCTTTGTGACCGCCTGAAGCCTCGCCTGGCGCTAGGCCTGGCGCAACGGCCCGAGACTGCCCCACCACCGCCATCGGGGCTGGTTAGGCAGAGACAGTCAGTGCTGTTCAGCCCCCTGGAGCCGATCAATCTAGCGATCTCGGTAGGAGGTGTAGCAGCAGCACCACCTCAAGCAGGAGGCGGCAGTAGGTAAGGAGCGTAGTACTGGCCGATGGCCGTGGGTAAGGTGAGTGACACCCTGCGGACTCGGTGATGGTCGAGGTCGGGTATCTTCAATCAAGGTGAGAGGAAAGGAGTGGCAGAGTTAGTTGGCAATTGCAGCTTTCCCGTCCCAAGCGGAGAGAGGTGCTCCCATGACTGTCGCTGCGCACACGTTGCAAAGAGCCCTCCAGACAGGCCCATTTCCCAACATCACATGGCATGACTGTCTGAGGGATGGGCGAGGAAGCAATTGGCGCCCAACCACTCCTTATGCGCGCGAGGGCCGGTCAACAAGCGCCGCCATTGCTCAGATCAGAGGTTTCAGCCTGGGGTTGTGTTGTATTGGACCAGCAGACGCTAATACAGCTGGCATGACATAGCATCTGTGACGTGTCCAACCAATGCCTCCACGAAGCCCACGGAAAAAGCAACGCGCCCCCATTGTCTGGGATCGCAATGGGTTCGAAAAGCAATCAAATGGAGAAAACAGGCCATAAAAATCTCCGTGAAGAGTGATCTACGCCCTAGTACCGCAGCTCCCGTCGCTCCAAAGCCGCCAAACGGGAACCAGAGAGGAGGCAGGGCTTAATAGGCTCCATTCCACCATCTCTTACATAGTTGCACCTAAATGCCAAATGTTGGGATGATTAGATTGTTCACTCCAATGATCCGCTCGGGGAATGTGCATAAGAATTCAATCGCATTAACTCCATGGACAGGGTCATTCGATGAGGCACTTTCATATGCTCATCACCAATGCATAACACTGATGCGACGGCGGCTTTGTCACAGCGAGGAGGTTTCGGGCATCGCCATTCTGCGGGTGTTCCAGAACACCTCCTACTCGCCCCGGCTTTCACACCTGTTCCAAAGCAATCCGGCAGCACCAAACAGGAGCCGGCCAGGAATGAGACAACACATCGTGTGTGAGTGGACCCATTCAACGGTCATCGCATTGATCAATCGGCTTTGCGGATGCGCCTCATCTGCTTGCCAGTTCAGCAGACCGTCCCATTATTCCCCAGACCCTGAATGGCCCACGGACACGAACACTTCCAAGGCGGCCTCGCTTATGCGTTTTCCGTACCTGGTCCTGGCATGCAACAGCAGCGCTTGGCTCACGGTTCAGCCAGAAGGCCTTGGATGTAATGCTGGACGCCTGCTTCTTCTTGGAACTTTTCACTCTCCTTTGTTACAGTCTCAAGCTCTTTCGTAACCCCTCCTTGGACTACGCAGCCGCGGGCGGCTTCCAATGCCAGGCTGGAATAGCGGTGTATCCATGAGGTCTCACGACATATAATGGGCAGGAAGCAACTGCACAAAGTCAGGCCTCGCTGGCTCATCTGCACTATGTGAGTTGTAAAGTGCCTGCATATAGACAGACCCACGAGATGGCAGTCTTCTGCAGACATGGTGAGTGCATCGAACTTGCGCAAACTCAACGGCTTCACGAACTTGCACAGACGCCGTTTTCCGGGACATCATATTGACTCCCTCTTTTGGGCATTCTGAAGAAATGAGGTCTGCGAGAGCGAAGAGCATTTGATATCTAGCTACCCCTCAGGTTAGAATCTTCCCCAGCCATGTGGTTGCTACACGCCGTATTCCCTGGCCTAGAGGATCTCCAAGCAGAGGGCATGAAGACGATTGTGGGTGTGCTTTCGTCTTTGTTCGTTTTTGACCCAAAGGGCATGCCCCCAAACTCAAACTGTCGAGTTCCTCGGGAATGCTGGGATACGTGTCATGCTTCCATAGCAAGGTGGGATGAGGAGACGAGCGGTCAGGTCGGTGATTGGGTTGGATTACAAACCCCAGCACCGACCCTGATCATCATTGGGAAGCTGCATGGTTGTTAGGGGAACACTCCCCCAGACCTGCTGCGAAGGCGTTAGATAGGGACCTTGTGGAATGGTGTAGGCGCGGAGGACGTTCCAAGGTAGCTGGCCTCCGTCTTAGACTGTTAGGTTGACGTCTTGGGGCGTACGGACGGCAACCGTTTAGCCGCCGTGATCGGCCAGGTACCCGGATGGTCCAGGCAGGCTCCACCCCGTCGTGACTGCCTGAAGCGACAGGGGCCTCAGCGAGGCTGGGTGACCGTCACGCCCCGTGATTCGCTACCAAATGATGTCACCTGCACAGCCGTCAGCCTTCACAAGCTAGTGGGAGAGCTCAAGGGAGACAGTTCACCATCCAAACTCCTCCCTTCCATCAACGGTACGGGAATCAGTTTGGCGGCATCATGACCCTCTACAACTATTTAGTCGGCGCGTCCATCGCTGCTGTTGCACGCGCCGCACAGCCGGGTGCTGTTGCGCCTGTCAAGGCTCCGATGCGGAACTTGACTTGGGGCCAGCTCAACTTCATCCACACGACGGATACCCACGGATGGCTTGGGGGTCACTTTCAGGAGTGAGTAGCGATATGAAGGATAAATTTCCACTGTCTGCTAATCTAGAATCGCCAGACCTCAGTACTCCGGCGACTGGGGAGACTTCATCTCCTTCTCTCACCACATGAGTGCGAAGGCCGACGAGAGGGGTGCCGACCTCCTCTTCGTCGACACTGGCGATCGCATCGAGGGCAACGGACTCTACGACGCTTCCAGTCCCAAAGGCCTTTACCAATACGACATCTATGCCGAGCACGATGTCGACATCATGTCCACAGGCAACCACGAGCTATACCAGGTCTACTCGGCCGACTTAGAACACAACACAACCACCCGCAACTACCCCAACAATTACATTGCTTCCAACCTCGATTACATTGACTTAAGCACTGGCGATCAAACACCCATGGCCCCGCGCTATCGAAAGTTCACCACCAAGAATCAAAAGATCGAGGTCCTTGCAATGGGCTTCATCTTCGATTTCACCGGGAACAACAAGAACACCGCTATACAACCCGTTAGGCAGACTATCAAAGAGGAATGGTTCCAAAAGGCTATCAGGGAGAGGCCAGATATCTTTGTGATTGCCGGACACGTCGGCTTACGCATGGAGGAATTTGGAATCATCTTCACAGAGCTTCGCAAGGCAGACTGGGATACACCTGTTGTGTTCTTCGGTGGCCACGCCCATGTTCGTGATGCCCGAAAGTACGACTCTCTTTCAATCGGAATGGCCAGTGGGCGGTACATGGAAACGATTGGTTGGATGTCGGTCGATGGGCTGAACAAGAAAAACAAGGGCGAGGTTTCAACACAGAAGTCCGTCTCTTTCCACCGCAAATATATCGACAACAATTTATACGGCATGTACCACCATACAGGTCTAAATGAATCAACATTCCCCACAGCCCACGGCCAGAACGTCAGCAGCATGATTGATAGTGCCCGCCAAGCATTGAAGCTCGATCATAAGTACGGCTGTGCCCCAAAGAATTACTGGATGAGTCGTGCGAAGCACGGGTCAGAGGATAACCTCTATACTTTCATCGAAAACGAGGTGTTTCCTGGGGTTGTTGTCAATGAAGAGCGGAAGGATAAACCTCGACTGACCATCATGAACACTGGAGGTGTCCGCTTTGACATCTTCAAGGGCCCCTTTACCCGAGACACTACCTACATCGTAAGCCCTTTTGTCAGCGGCTTCAGATATGTCCCGGATGTGCCATATAAAATCGCGAGCAATGTGATCAAGCTCTTGAACTCGGGAGGTCGGATTCTTGACATGGTCCCTGAAAATAGGTTCATGGCCATCCCTGAGCAGATGTTCCTCTCGCCCCTTGTCTCCTTTACCGAAGACGTCCAGGATGTCAATCTTGAATTACGAGGCGAACAGAAATCCCTCAACAGGCTGGATGATGAGACACCTCTTATTGGTGGTCTCACTACCAGTGATGACATTGGTGATGACGGAGATGATACTATCCATGAGAAGCTCCCCTTCCATCCCCAACCAAATGCCTTCCAAGCAAAGATTGCCTTCCCTCCAGACAACAAAGACCCCGAGACAGTCGATCTTGTTTTCATTGATTTTGTTCAGCCCTGGATCATCCCCGCGCTAAAGCTTAGTGGTGGCGACTATGATGATAAGGATGTTGAGATCTACATGGAGGGAACATTCACCTCCAAACTGTCACAGTGGATTTCCGAGAACTGGAAGGGAGAATGCTAAGTCTTTTTCATGTTCATTACAATAACTTAGAGGCATCTGTGATTTAATGTGATGGGCTTTGTTTTTGGCTGTTTGGTCTCTTTTTTCTCTTGCTTTTTTTTTTAACTTTTTTTTTAGCATAAACTCACAAGGAACACCCAGGGCTATTCTCTCCACATACCGAGGTATGTAGGCATTGATTCTATGAAAGACAGTCTGGAATACATTTGTTGCATTCAGTTCATATATCCAGAAATCTAGGTACAGAATCTCAAACAAATACACATCAAATTCTCAACCATTACAATTTTCCGATGGGGTCAACGCTTGAAAGCTCTTGCTCCCCTCGATTTAAGATGTGTGCCTGATCTGCTCCCACTTGTGCTGGCCCGGGTAGCATCTATGGAAACTCGTAGTACCTAGGAACACAATATGGGCTCTTGCTAGGCGTATAATACTTGCATACCGTGTTTGGGGGGCAATCTCCTCCGTACTACAGAGTGGTTCTCGTTAGCGGATCATCTTCTTTTAAGAGAGCTCAATGATGGGTGGCTCTCGGGAAACATGGACGTCAACATACCTCCCACTTTCCACTTGAGTTGCAGACCTTCCAGCCGGGAGCACCGGATTTCGGGTTGAATGTGCATTCGTAGGCTCCTGGGCTGCACTCTCCCTCGAGCGTAGGTTGAGGCTCCGGCTTGGGATGCTCCGGCCTATGGGGCTCCGGCTTGTGCTCCGGCTTGTGCTCATGCTTGTGCTCATGCTTGCAGTCGGGCTTGCGGTCGAGCTTCTCGATCGGGTAGAGCTTATGCTCATGTTTATGCTCAGGCTTCTGGTATGGGCAAGGCTTATCGTCATGCTTGTGCTCGATCTTATGATATGGGCAGGGCTTATGCTCAGGTTTGTGCTCGTGCTTGCGGTATGGGCAGGGCTTATGGTCATGCTTGTGATCGTGTTTGTGGTACGGGCAGGGTTTATAGTCATGCTTGTGGTCGTGCTTGGGGTCGTGCTTGTCGAACGGGCAGCAGGGCTTATGATCGTGCTTATGATTCCCCTTGTGGTCGAATTTTTGGTCGATTTTAAATGGCCGAGACTCAAGCTTGATGGGAATCGGGGCCGGCTTGCCGTGCTGGTCCGGAACTATCTTGATCACCTTGAAGTTGTCGCCATCAGCAGAAGGCAGCACCTCGACATGCCCCTCCCGGGGCTTTCCAAGAGGCCCGAGTTTGTGCTCAGGATGATGGGGAGCACCGACGGGCGAGTAGATGACGTGGTGCTTCTTGTCTTCCGGGATGAGAAGAGCGGCGGCGAACGTCGTCAAAGTCGCAATGGCTAGTACGGTGAACTTCATCGTGGGCTGATGTTTAGGAGCAGGAATATGCTTCCAAAAGATTGTGTGATCTATCTGCTCAAGCACGTTTTCTACAGTTCACATGGAAGGCCCTTTGATGCCCCCAGCATGAATCTTATACTCCATCTCTGTTATTGTAGTCACGACTAAGACGCGAGTCTAGGCTCGTGTGTTAGTCGACCATCTCCTCATTTCCCAAAATCTCGTATTCATGGTGTAAACTCACTCACGACCAGACAGTTTCCTCTCGACTAAACCTTCACATGGAGCGCAGTGATTGGATAACACGTGTTGCATATGCAGTTGGTATTGTTAGTCCTGATATGCCGACCTCGTAAAGCAATATAAAGCTGGTGATAGACTTTATTAGACTGAGCTCCATGGCGTCCAGACGTCTCACAGCCAATGATTCAGGACGACCGGGTCGCGAGTTGTTTGGCCTTCCAAGGACTGGAAGACACAATTTATATACAATTCGGGACGTGACACGGCCAGCAAAAATTCACTACGTGTGCAATGATGGACCATTCTCCTTGCCGCTATCGTCATAAAGAAACTAAAAAGAAGATTTGATCCAGCTGCTCGCTGGGCATTACTTGAACTATACAAAGATCACTGGCCGTTTACAGAACCATCCGCCCACCCGCCCAACCATTTACCCATTCATTCATATTGAGGCCCTTTTTGGATGAATCCCATTACTCCCCCCACTGTCTATTGATTTGGCTTCTTCGTACCTGCATCCCAGATGTGTTAGCTCGAATTCAAATCAGAAAGAAGCGGAAGAACTTACCATAGGGGCCAGGAAAATCACGCCACCAAACAAAGCAAGAACAGTAAGAATCAGAGTAAATTTGTTAAATCCCTTTCCAAGAATATCAAACACGCCGCTTGGAGCCACTCTGGTTCCGAACACGTCCACACCGTAGGCAACAACAAGAGTGGTGCTCTCGACGATAGCGGGAGCAGCAACGATGTTGCTGATGCCAATGATATCACGCTCGTGGGAGACGATAGAGCGAGGATCGATCTCCAAAGAGGGCCAGTACTTCATAAGACCTTCGGCTTCCTGTTCAGCGGCGGTGGGGTCACGGCTCACGGGACGGCGAGGGTCAAGTGCTTGACGTGGAATGCCCACAATAGCATGGGATTCAGGCATGTAAGCCAGAACCTGACGGCCGGTGATTCCCTGGCGAGTTTGAGTGACAGAGAGGCTCGTCAGAGGCTGGATGGCAACAAAGCCTAGAGAAACAACGAAGGGCAGAGGAGCCTTAGTTGGCGAATCCACAGGGTCCAGGGAAGAGAAGTTCTCAGAGTCACCCAGAGGGCCACGGTCATTGGGTGCAGAGGACTCGTAAAGATCTGTAGAGGTGATCTGGTAGCCCTTGATAGTCTGGCCTGAACCATCATTCAGCAAATACTGCCCAAAGAAGGAGCAAGTGTACCAATTCTCAGAAATGACGCATGACACGTCCTTGCTTCCGTCAACGCCGTCGTAGGACTGCGAGGCTAAGATTTGTCCAGATACTGTGTCCACCAGTCGGATAGAGAGCACGGAATTGTCATCGGAAAGGACGGCAACAACAATGGTGTTTGTGTTGAGGTACTTGTAGTTGACGTTTCGGTCTCCAAGAACGCGGCCGATTGATGCAACTGGGTCGTGAGAAGGGCGAACTGCGACGTCCACAATGCGCTCACCAGGGAGTAGCTGCAGTTGCCATACTTCGGTCTGTTGAGCAGTAGCCCCATCTTTCCCGGCCTCGAAGCGCACACCCTTGATAACCTCTCCCTCTCCGCGAACGACAATGGTCTCCTTTGGCACAACACCATTGGGGAATTCGCCAACTGGCTTGCCCGAGGAATCGAGAGCAAGAAGCCAAACGCCATTTTCATCTTGAATAGTAGCGGTGCTCTCAATGCTAGAGCCACTAGTAACAACTCGAAGAACCTCTCCTGTGATGGCATTGATATCTGCGACTTCACCCTTTGACCCCTGTAGCGTGACAACGCTACTCTCGCCGCCCTTGGCAACAAGACCCTTCAATTCGAATGACTGGCCCTGAGGCTGGGGAAAGACATTTGCTGACCAAATGACCTTTCCAGCATTCGCAGTGCTGAGGCCATAGACCCGCCCACGTCGTGTTGCCAGTACAATGACCTTGTTGAACCCAAAGCTGTCGCGGTGCAACGATGTGTCCCTGTGAGTCTCACCAGAAAGACTATCAATCAGGCGGGTAGGGATTGACTGAAGCCAAGCAGGGAGGTATTTGAGATCATTAATGTGACGGTTAACACGATGAATGTAGGCAGAGAGGGGGTTGGTATGGGCTTCCTCCTCCAGGGCCTTGGCAAGGCTCTCAGTTTCGGGTAGCTCAGCCCAAACGGCACCGACAGAAGCGCTGAGTCCTTCAGGACGGCTCCAATCAACGTTTCCGTTTCGGACCAACGTCCAGTCATCTGAGACGGTGGTCACAGCAGATCGGATGGCAAACTCCTCGCCACCAGGCTTCTTGATGACTTCTGATACAGCATGTCGCGCCTTGATGTCAGACGAAGATGCCAGGGGCCAACGCTGGAGAACAGCAGGAGACTCAGAAGAAACGATAAGAATCTCGTCCTCGGTGATACGGGTAAAGTAGACGTTAGCACCTTCCGAGCTTGTCGAGAAAGCATTCTCCCCCTTGAGATGCGGGAGTTCAAAGGCTCTGGTAATCTGTCCATTCTTCAAATTGGTGTGGTAAACTTCGCCTTTACCGCCAGTTGCAGTCTTCGTGTGAACAAGGAAGTGAGGCAGCGACTGGGTCAGATGAGGGGCGTGAATGACGACACCAGTCGTCTCCGCACCCAGGGCAATCTCCTGCTTTCCCTTGGTACCCAGAACATGAACGCTCAGCTTGGATAGAGAGGAGTCGGTCCAAGCTAAGAGCGGTGCGGCGGAGTTGGCGCCGACGAACATGACGTCCTGGGGCCCGTGAACCTCGCCCTTGGTGCCGACAGTCCAGTCGTTGACACGCGAGCCTGTCAGAGTGTCGAGAGACGTGATTTTAAGGCTATAAGAGGAAGGCGACCCGTGAAGACTGATGACATAGATGTTTGCAATGTTGGTAGACACCTGTAGGGGAATATCCTTGTTGTGTTCGCGGAACTCCCACACCACAGTGCCCAACTTGCCATGCAGCCGGCGTAGCACAGTAACGCCATCCTCATCAAACAGAGCAAGAACATCCTTTCTCCCTGTCTCAGTAACCTCCAAAATTTCAAGGTCTTTGACTTGACCCGCGAAGCTTGTGTGCCAGGAATTTCTTCCCGTCAAGGCATTCCAGGCCTGCACAGTCGATCCGTGGGCAGCAGCCACCCAGTCCTCATCCTCTGGCGCCCGAAAGTGGCCTCCTCCAATTGTAGTATCCGTGGAAATCTGGTGTCTCCAGACAATTTCGCCATTGCTGGGGTTCACAGCGCCGAATACGCCAACATCGCCGAGGGTGTAGAGCAAGCTGGCCTTGTCGTCTCTTCGAGGTCGGTGGAAGAAGGTCGTCTCGGCCTGCGGGACACCGAAGAGTGAGTAGTGGAAGTCGATATCGTCGACCTCATCTTGGAAGACGGCCGTCGCAAAGGACGAGAGTCCTAGCAACAGGATTGAGCTGAATGCGCGCCGCATGTTGTGGATTGGTACCGCGCAGATGACAGCTTGACAAGAGCTAGCTATCAGAGCTGATGGAGTTCCAGGATAGTTGGCGACATGCAGCGATTGGGTGCTTAGTCATCGGGACAACAAGGTCCAACAGGGCAGGCATGACGTGGGACCCCGCGGCCGCCACTCTCTCCATCATGATTGAGTGCAGGAGACATAGATCGGATGCATGTGTTAAATGTGGCATGCTGGTGTGCTTGTTTTGAGTTCGAATTCGATTCCATGCTTGTCACAACATCATATACGTGTTCTACATAGGTACCATGACAATAATTTACATTGTCTCTCTACCGCAGAAAAAGAAACCACCGTCCAACGCCGAATACACATATCCAGAATGTACGAGCTTTCGCAGCGACACGAAACAAGAAGTAACCCACCTAGATTACTTCATTATCCAAAAAGGAACCTAGCCATTTAATTTTCATCAACAGGGCCGGCCGGTGCCTCGGTGTGGGCTTCGGCAGAAGCGGTCTCCTCCTGAGGTGCTTCAGCAGAAACATCTTTCGGTTCCTCTTTCACTTCTTTTACTTCAGACAAAGGCTCTTCTGTCGCCTCGACCTTAGTCTCACTTTCTGGTTCTGTCTTGAGCTCCTTGTCAGGGGTTGCCGACTTGAGAACGGTGTCTTCAGAGAATCCTGCCTCGGGGGTGGGCTCTGGGACCACTTCTACTTCTACAGGAGTTGGGGCAGCAGCCTCAGCGCCAGCTGCTGCAGTCTTCGATGCTTCTCGGTCTAGCTCACCCATGAGACCATCAAGTAAGTCTGACTCCTCTTGAACTGGCTGAGATATTTGGGAAGTCTCTTCTGCCGAAGCCTCCAGGGCCTCAGCTGGTACGTCTGACGCAGATTGAGGTTGCTCAGAGGGCTGATCTGGCAGCTGCTCTAAGCTCTCCTCGGGAGCTTGCACGGCAGCCTGTGTGGGTGGCTCCTCCAAGGGCTGGTCAACGGTTTGTGCAGAGGGCTGCTCGGGCAGCTGCTCCAAGGGCTGTTCAGAAGACTGCTCGGGCAGCTGCTCCAAGGGTTGTTCAGAGGACTGTTCAGACGGTTGCTCAAGGGCCTTCTCTGGGGATGGCGCTGAGGGATGTTCCGCCTTCAAATCGAGCTCAGTTGTGCCTCCTACGGATCCTGTAGCAGCCTCTGATGGAGCTCCAGATTCGGTTCTAGGGACTCCCATCGAGACTGAATCTTCAGGCTTGATTGGATCGTCAACTGACATCAAATCAGAGTGCTCATGCGTTGGCTTGTCCGACAAATCCTCCCCACCACGGTCTTCGTCATCATGCGCTTTGTCCCCAGATAAGGAGGAGTGATCTGGAGCACTCTCATCCTTTGGAGATGCATTCGGTGACGAGATATTTCCCACCTGATCAGGGGGTGGTGGTAGAAGCGCGTCCGTCGATGGTCCCACTCTGGCCTCAGGAGTAACCTCCTTAGGTTCAGGTAATGATTCTACAACAGATGCTGGTGCATGTTGAGATTCTTCCGTCTCCTGTTTTTGATCATTGTCCTCTCCTTGGTCTTTGGGGGGCTCTGTTGGTACGTCGTCTGTAGCTACCACGGCTTGGGTGGCTTCATCTGCCGACTTTGATTCTGGTGGTGGCAGAACCTCGTTCTTGAGAGGACTACCCTCCAACTTAGGCGAGGAGACGGAAGCCTCGGCAAGCGCTGATGCTAGAGCAGGAGGCTTCGGCAGGTCCACGGGGGCCGGAGCCGAAGTAGCATCTTCCATCTCAACATCCATTTGCTCTTTCGATTCAGGTACCTCAACAGCAGGAGCTGCGTCCTTCATTTCCTTGTCTAAATGAGGCCCTTCATCGACCGGTGCGCTGTCCCGGTGCTGCACGCTAGGAGTGTCTTCGCCTTCGCCTTCTTCGCCTTCATCACCCTCGTCGCCCTCGTCATCATCGTCATCGTCCTCGTCGTTTTCATCGCCGTCGGCCAGCTCGCTATCATGGTTCGTGGGAGCTTCACTTGCAGACTTGGTGTCCTGTAATCAGTGTCAGATGACGCCCCGATCTTTTCAGAGGTGAAACTTACGTTGGGTAAGCCATTTGGCTTGGGGGCAGAAAGCCCATTGGCATCAGGAACGACTCCAGCGGGCTGCACTGCTCCGGGTAGCGGAATCTTGGCCTTCTTTTTACCACGTCCAGGACCGGCCCTCTTCCTCTTAGGAGGAGGTGCCCTTTTCCTGGCTGGTGGCGGCGGCGGCGCCTGTTGGAAGGTCTCAGGCTGTCCGATCGGCGCAGCTTCAACTCTGGTGGAGATGATTTCGCCTTGAACCTGCTGCCCGTCGGCCAAAGTGACCTCCTCTGTGTATGGATTGCCCGCGGCGTCTATTCTCCGGACCGTGGCTCTCGTAACAGTGGGACCAACAGCCTTCTCAAGGACAGTCTTGCTCGCGATCGTGATTGTCCCCTTGCGACGCTTAGCCAGATGTGACAAGCCGGTGTCCTCGGAGCTTCTGGGCAACTGCTTCCATAATTTGACCGAGAATCCAGTCGCCACTGTCTCTTCCTCCTTCTTCTCCTGCTTCTCGGGTGCAGCCTCGGCCTCGGCGTCTTCTTCCTCGGGTGGAGGGGGTCGCTTATACAGCCGGCCTGATCTCGCGGCACGGAGCAGCTCTTGGGTGTGGAGGGGAAGTAGCGTGGCATCTTTCGGCATTCCGTGGATAAGCTCAATCGCCCAAATGTCGTTCTGCTGCTGCTGCTCCTGCTGCTCAGGTGGTGCGACCGTCACCCAGTCCTGTCGCCATTGTCGCACGGGCAAGCCTTTGTCCAGTTAGCATGAGACCTAAAGTGCATGTGAGTTCCGATGCGCACCTTCGAAATCGTCGTGCTCAGCGTAGCCGCTACGATTCGCGCGTCGGGTCTGCAATGACGGGATTGTCAGCTCATTGTTCTACACGGTCGCCTCGCGGGTGGTCCACGTACACCTGGCGCCATTGCGCCAATAGCAAAGCAGCGGCTGATTAGGTGTGCGAGCGGCTTCTCAGATACCCAGGGGGTGGTCAACCGTTAGCAATTCCTGGCTGGCCTGTGTGCTGTCGCGATGGGCGGCATGCGATGCGCGTGCTGGGCAGTAAGAGATAAAGCTGTTTTGTTTGCGATGCACAAGGCCAGGTTCGTGTGGCCAATGATGCGAGGGCCCCCGTATTACATAATACCCGCCGTGCAGCACGCCTGTCTGCCAGGCTGCCCACCACCCAGTCCAGATATGGGTGATTTAGGAGGGATGATGTAACCTGAGCTCGCGGGCATGGCTGGAAGCAGACGGGACGAAGGCATTTGTGTCTCTTTACGAGTCCTACGGAGCCGAGTTGGGCTTGGGATCCGCACTTGACAAGCTGAAGTTACACCAGGGTGATGGAGGGGAGAGTCAGGTGTTGGCGACTTTGCTATTTCTGTCTCGCCGTCGGTCTTTGACGGCAATATGTTGTCTATTATGTCTTTTTTTTGGGTTTAAAGGGGAGAAAAATCAAGCAATACTACAGCCCGTTCATTCATGTCTTCGAACAAGCGGGCTGGTGCTCAAATAGTAGAGAAGAATTGGCTACCAATAATTTCCAGGTAGCACCAAAGACCTTTAACCCCATCACAAAAAGATGGTATCAGTGTGGTATACAAAGCCGGCAGTCCATTTTTTTACTATACATAGAGCCCCAGAACTCCGTTCCTCATCCGTTTGGTAGCATTCAATCGTAACTGGGGGAAAAGGGGGGGTTAGCGATCGCGGGGAAAATAGCCGTTGGGAACCAATTGCCATGGCGTGAAGCTTACCCTTGTTGCTTCTGCCTCAAGACCGCACTCTCCTCGCTGTTGTTCTTTCCCTAGAGACAAGGTCAACACTTCGTTCACGGCAAATATCTCCAACAGGGCGAAACACCTACCGAGATGCCGCCCTCAACGACTAAGCGATCCAGCTGGTAGAATTGGCCGATGACAGTCTGACGCTAAAATCCCCATCAAATCAGTGATCCGTCGACGAATGCAGCTTTCGCTTCCCACTGAGAGCTATACCTTCATCACCTGGAGGTCCTTCAAGCCCTGCTGCACCAATTCCTGAATCTTTCGTGGATCGTTCACGGCCACATGCTCTCGAAACGCATCTCTCGTCCGTCGCTTCGCATATTCACGGAAATTGTAGGCGGTGAACTGGTTGCCCTGCCGTAATAATTGGCGGTACTACACGGAGGAACCCAGCACATTAGCTCAATGGTCGGAGATTGGGGGGTTTTCGAGGGTTCTGGGGGAAAGCCTGGTTGAGGTTGGTCCAGCATCCATGCCGCCGAACCCGGCCTTACGGCCTCTGGCGGGCAAGATAAGATGCCCTGGAGGGCCACGAAGAGACTTACGAGAGATCGGACTTGTTGCGGCATGTCTCCTTTTAATGCGCCAACGGCAGACATTGTGTGGCTAGGTTGGGAGTGACGGTTGGTGAAGAGAGAAGAGCTTGCCCTACGGTCGCGAGTCGAGCTGGCTGCGAAATTCATCCAGTCTACAGTAGTGACTAATTAATGATGTATCCATCCAGCGCCGAAAGCTCGGCCTTTGTCGGCGCGGAGAATTACCAGCTCCGGGCCAATTTGCCGACTTATTGGCCTACGTAGGTATGGGATCAAGACTACAGTTTCTAGCGGAGGACAAATGACAATGCGATGAAGAGAAAAAAGGTTCATGGTAATCTGATATAGAAGATTCGGTGCGGAATTCTCCCATGGCCTCTGCGAGAGCAGCGCTGCTGGGAAGCAAATCAGTCACTTCTGATATTCTGCACCAGAGCAAGTCTCCAAAACCTGGTGGTACCCACATATATATGCCGATATCATATAACTTCCCCAATTCCAGAACCATGGGAATCCTTCTCGAAGTCGATGCACCACGAAACAAAGTGATTCATTTTGTGGATGTCAGAATTACTGATGGTGAAATTTGGGCGAGGCATGCAATTCTGATCTGTACCGGCAAAGGTAGTCACATAAGTGGCTGAGTCACCCATAAAACAGATCGGAATGCTCCAAGCCGATAAGAAGATGACTGCTGTCTCTCTCTCGTGAATCATCATAGCATCAACCTTGGGGATCAGCATTCCCGCGATTCTTCGTTACCAAGGTGAAGAGCGACCTCAGAGATTCAAGCCCGATTCAGGCCTCGCCGATGACTTCCATGTTGCGAAAACAAACAGCAATGGAATTCCCGGCAATCAACATGGAATTATGGTGGGTGTAGGAATCAAGTGGCCAATAAAGAATTGTCTCCCATGTTCTGAAGTTGTTGCTTTGCCATAGACAAAAGTCTGTCATCTGCATCCAAATCATCGGGAGACTCGGAGGTTGCGGTTGTGAAGTTTTTCGCTGCTTGCTCTATTGCATCCGCAGGAAACCCATTGGCGTTGAGCAAATTGGTGAACCTAGACTCGTAGGCTAACTCGTTTTTCAGTTGTGCATTGAACACATAATGCCGCTGTGCCTGGTTTGGCTTCATTATATTGATAGAAGAAAGCTGCTTCTCCGCGGGAATGAGGGGTGTGAAAACCAGATTGGTGACGGAAGCATTCAGGTTGGCCAGCTCAGTTGGGTGACTAGGCTGCGTCAGGCCCCAGCGCAGGATCTTGCCCTTCGTGTGACCAGTGAGGATGGTGGTTCCATCATAGCTGCAAGATATGCAGTTTGCTTCGCCTGCCTCATCTTCGGCCACTCCTACAGGGTCACCTCCCTGTACCACAATAGAGGCTGGTTCGGATGCTTCCGCACCAAGCAGAAACTTGTCGCCAAAAAACTCGACCACATGCAGAGCGCCCCCTTCGGCAGCTACGTAGAGGGCCCGGGCGCAAGGATCCATTGTGATACAGAGAGGGGTAGCAGGGAACAGCAAAGTTCGAAGTACTTGACCTGTACAGTAATTCCAGACTATGCAGGTCTTGTCCTTGCTCGATGACACGCATATATTTGTTTCTTGGTTCGTGCTTGGACCAGTGACAAGATCCGTAATGGCGCCTCGATGGTTCGAGAGCACCCTCTCCGGCTCCTGCTCGGACTGCACATCAAACTCTAGCAAGTGCGCAAGAGACCAAACATTGATGTTGGAGTCATCAGAGGCAGAGAGCAGGTGATGTGGCGTCACAGCCAGGCAAGAAATTGCCTGGACATGGCAGGGCGGCGTTGTGACCTGTCGCCCCGTGCAAGTCTAGAAGCTTCGTCAGCCTCAAGCCACATGTTTTAAGATAATGAATCAACAAACCTCCCACAAGATTAGCCTGCCCTCAATTGTCCCGACGATGACGACGTTGCCGGAAAGAGCCAGGCTCCGGATCCTCTCAGTAAAGGGGACCAGAGCCTCCTGGTTCCCTCGTACCCGCGAGTAAACATGCACATGGGCCTTCTGATCTTGGGCAGCAAACACATGTGTGTCACTAGCTGCGAGACAATGCCGGGCACATGAGCTCTTCTTGAAAGATGCTCGAATAGAATATGACGGGCTGAGGGTTTGTGAGTAGATGCCAATGTCCTTCGACACGGCGGTGTTAGCGGCCACTGGGGGCCCGCTCACGGACGATAGAAAGTCCTCTGACAGCATCTGGTGCAGCAATAATCAGGCCACTCTATACTTTTCGATCCAAAGATGTAAGAGGAATGCCCGAATATCAATTCAGAAGCAGGGTGATGGCGAGGCTATTGGCATGCGGCAGGCAATGACCAGGGCAGGCAAGAGTCAATAGTGTTGTTTCTGATTCCTGTATATCATATCATCCGAGGGTCGCTTGTGCTCAGGCCTTCTGCTGAGCGAGTCAGAGCGACGTGCCAAGTAAATGACCTGTAGGGAGGGACACGTGAAGAGCTCCAGAAAAAAATCTCGATGGGCGAGGATACGAGGAGGTGTGCAACAGGTTTGTGCAACTTGGACGCAGGACAATACGGATCGGGTTTGGGAACAGCAAAAAGAAAGAAAAAATGACGGCGATAGTTGGGGCATGGTTCGAGCCCACTAAGGTCACTATACCGAAACAGGCCTGAGCCCTTCGCGATTGATTTCCTCGTCTCTCCAGGGCTGATTACTGCCCGTCGCCCACAGCCGAGCACCCAAGGCCCGCTATATTCTAGCGGCGTGCGGGCGACCCCTAGGCCCAAGATTGGCTTCGAGCGGTGCCCGGAATGGTGCCATTGGCCCCAACGGCCGGCAAGATGTACTGTAGCGATCACCAAGGCTGGAGCACTCCACCCCATCTCATCTCTCGAGCTGAACATGTTTTCTTTTTCCCAACCACGCCAGCCCAACATCATCATCTCTCTCTCCGCCCTCTAGGCAACTTCGAGTTACCTGTGTCTCGCCTGCTCTGTGGCCAGCATGGCGTCGCCCATCGCCCGTGCAGATCTTTGGTCACACCGTGCAAAGAGTTGCCCCTTTACACAGCTTGAGTGTCCATCACAGTGGCCCAACTCTCCCCTGCACAACCACGAGACTATCCGCTCGCCATTTCAAAAAGAAAAGAAAACCACTTCTACTTCCTGAGAGACCCATGTGGCATACCAACGTTCTTCAGTCCCACGCTTTGGCCCTGAAATCCGCGTGTCGGCATCCGTCTTTGAGTGCTCCCATGGATGTTGAATTTGACATATCACATCACCCCCGATCCAGGATGCCAAAGTAGGGTGGCAGACAGCTATCGCCAAATTCAAAGTACATACATGTAAGCTAACATGAGTGTCCGTAAGCAATACTGTAGCGCTGGCCAGCCAGCTGCTACTGCATCAGGATCACACTCAAGAAACCAAGTAGATGTGGGCTTTCGGAACCTCCATGATTTTACCTTTCCCCTCCTTCTGTGAAACTCCGAAATACGGTTTTGGCAAGTTTCAGCCACATGTATGCGAGTCGGGAAGCGAGACGCAAACTGGATCCAGAACCTAGTCGGTCCTCACGACAGTCGGGCCTGCCTTGTCCTACGCTCCTCTACGTCGCACAACATCTCTTGCGTTTCAAGAGTAAGAGATGTACTGGCACTCTCCGACGGGCTGCATCCCCTCATCAAAGCTATTGGGTTATTAGGCTCTAGCTAAGGCCGCTGGAACGGGTTGTTGCCCAACATGGTGAGAACAACCGCGCGATTCCTCTCAGATATCATAATCTCATTACCCAACAACAATCAAAGCGTCCATTGCGAATGGCCACATGGGAATGAGGGGTTCTCAACGCATCCACCGCCTCCCTCGTCTTTCCAGAGACTCGTGTCCCGGGTGATGCATCACACTCGCTTTGGCCTCGTGCAAGCCAGTGTGTTGCCACTGCGACCCGACTGATGGCAAGACTTGTCTGGCATGCAAAACTAAACTGGCTCGTCAAATTGTGTCTTGCAAGTTGCTGTGGTCAATGCGTGCATATGCGGCTAGTACCGCCAGGGGTGTCTATCAAATACCAAGACAAGTCACAAGTTAACACACACCAGCCAACCCTTAGCTGCTGGTCTAGGTCCGCGCCTTGCTCATCCCTGCCTGGCACAGTTGTACTGCTCTTTGCTTTTGCCCGTCCTACTTCGAAGCTCGATGTAAGCCGGCATCGAGGAACCACGTTGAGCAGCATACCACGCCCAGAGGCCCTGCCCCATGAACACAGTCCCCATGGCTATGTTTCTACTGTCCGAGCCTCCGAGCTTGGCAAATTTTAGATATGTATCATGCCTGTGTACACGGCATTCTGTCGTTTCCTACTTGCGACAACCTGAAGTATTGAATTTCTACCGCCACCCACCTACACACTACTTTCATGGCAACCGTTGGTTACGCGACATTCGGCCCTCCGGCCTCCCTGTCTCTCTCTGGTCTCTCGCTTTGACTCAACTAATATAGCATGCGCACGTTTTTCGCTCCGTCTCCCTCCACCGAACATCTGTCTTATATCACCTGCCGGTCCCTTTTTAAATCCTTTGGCTGGCCCTGCCCCAGGCTCGACTCCTCCATATGAATGCTCTTGACCAACCGGCGGCTCATATATCCAGCCGTCGTATCATAGCACACTCGTACCCAGCTCATCATCGAGTATCCCCAGCCGACCCAGCTTCCGCCGGGGACAAAAGACCGCATTCTTCATTGTCTCTGACCAAGCGAAGGTCCGTTTCCAGTATGAAGGGACTTATGCCACTTGCGCTGTCACCCGCGTGCTCTCATTCTTCTACTCCCCTATCAGGAGGAGAAATGATCGAGAATCATGTGGACGGGTACTTCCCGGAGCTTCTAGCCAAGGACCTTGAAAGGTCCGCAATCATCATCGCATCGCAAAACCTTCCGCTTGGCAATCCCGAAACAAGGGCATCTGAAGTAAAAGGTGCAACCTCATCTCACGGCTGGCCCTCACGACATCCCCAAACTCCACAACATCAATCTGCCTCCAGACCGGTGCGACAATTGGGTTCAATCCAAGAACGCCGCTCAGTTGTGTCCTTTGTCGACTACGGCGCTCATACAGACTACTCTACAACAGACGATGATTCCTTTTACGCCAACGAGGGATACATAAGCACAGTCTGTCCATCCTCCATCGCACGCCACGAACTGATGACCAGTACTGCAGCGACATCCCTCGCCTCCAACATATCGGTCCCATCGCTGAACAAGACTCTTTCATACGATTCGAAATTGGAACACAGCTGGATTGACCCCGATTCGGATGAGGATGAGCCAGATCAGATGGTAGAGAATCATATAGGCTCCCTCTCTCCACGACCCCCTACCCCACCCGTATCGGAGCTGGGGTATGATCATGCAGCTGATATTCAAGATATACCCTTGAACAGGAAGCAAAGCCACAGAAAGTCCTATTCTGTCGGTGTGTCACCATATCCTCCAATGAGGCGGCGTTCAAGTCGGCTCTCAGAGTCAGCTTCGGACCGACCAAGAATGGCTCCCAATTGTCACACACGCTATGCGCTCAGTACAAAGACGTCGGCGTCCTCTCCCACCTCGCCTTCTTTTTCACCCACAGACACTTCCTTTCGTGATCGTCCTAGGGCCATGAGCCTCCAGGATAATGAAAAAGTTGCTCGCGGGTCATCAACTCGATCTCGGAGAAGTGCAAGGCCGTCTGATGATTCAAACCCCTCTATCCAGCCACCCTACATTCACGATGACAGCGACAGCGATGAAGTTTCTATTGCCCCGCGAAAGACATCACAAAATCCCGTCTTCATTCGCCCATCCCCACCCCCATCCCCTTTGCCTACTGTGCAGTCGTGGCTGCATGGAAACGCACTTTCATATGCTGCCCAGTGCCAGGGTGAGGATCTAGCCAAAGCCATTCCTCTCCCTCCGAACATAGTAGAGACTTTGAGGGTTTCCATTGCTTGCTTTCCCGAGACGATGCTCCTAACCTCGAGCTTGACCATCGAGACGATTCGCGTCTACTCGAGGAAGGTCAGGCAACCAAGCATTGAGCTCGTCAATAATCTGGCCCCTGACCCGCCAGTCGAGAATCCGCGCAAGTCACTCTGGAAGAGAGTCGTAACTTATAAAAGAGGCGCATCAACTTCACCTCGTGACCGAACACGCTCCCCAAGCCCCACGGAGCAGAGCTTAAAGTCACCCAGTTCAAGCTCTCTACCCCCACCCTCACCCAAGACATGGTTGCCTTTGAAGAGTGTGTTTGGATGCTGCTCTGACTACATTTGCGAGGCACTCTGGGCACACATTGTGGCCTATAACTATATCTCGGCTCTTATCCCTCGCGCTCCTCACCAAGCCAAGTCTAATCGACATCGCTCGTCCACGTCAAATGATTCGCAGAAGGACGAGATACCGAAGAAAGCAGCATCTATTCTTGGTCTTGCGGCCTCTCAGGGTGGTTCAATTCCAAGCATTGAAAGACCCACGCTCAACAAACTCCGCACCTCCTCGTCGTGGACTCTGAACAAGGAGGGAATGGTGGCCGAGCAGTCATCGCGAGCAGCAAGCAACGAGAACACCACGAGGGAAATCCAAACCGGCCTCATGCGGTGCATCGTGAGGCTTATTGCTACCGCTCAATTGATGTCTGAAGACAACAAGGCTGACGAGAAGATTGTCGAAATGGAGACACGTGGAGTGGACATGCTCTTCACTCGAAGCTTGTGCGAGATTGTGCGGATGTCAGAGGAGTTTCACAACAACCATGTCGGCAGCTGCTGAATTGGATTCACGTGTGGCTATTTCCTTTGTTCTCATGAGGTCTAACTCGGGCTTGGTGTTGGGTGAAGTGTGATGACGACGAATTGATATGTATAAGGTTGAGGCTCATTGTTCTTGGAGCGTCATCGATGTTAAGTATAGGTATGAAGCAGGCGCACTATTTTTCTGGCAGGATTTTTTTGGTTCTCAATTGTTTTGTTATTACGACTATTATGCCCGGCTTTTTGTCACAATGGCTGTATACCCTCACATGCGTTTCCTTGCGTTACCAGTTGCTATTGTTACATAGGTAATCAAACAGCTCTTGATACAAGGATAAGAGATGTAATAATAATATGATATTATGTTCATTGCTGAATATCAATTTTCTTCGTCCGACAACTTTGATTCATTAAACTATCCATATATCGGCCCGGCACATGACATTCATTCCGCGTCATCTGTTCACTCCCCTAAAGTGCCGGGTTTCCCCAATGCATGATGGCATGTTCTTACTCTCTCGCCGACTGTTATGGTTTTTGGTGTGGTTACAAGCCCGACGGCACCTAACACGAGGTGTGCCTCCCAACGCCCCGATAAGAAACTGCCGTTTTCATTATTCAGTGCATTAACATGCCGATGAAACACGGGAGGCTTCAGCCTTCGGATGGTTGTGATACCATAGACGGGTTTTTTTTTTTTTGGTTTTTTTTTTTTTCTTTCTTTTTGGGCTATACGCGGCCGTGTTCCTCAACTCGCTCTAAATGGGAGATGCCAACAACAGATGCTATAGATTCTGCAGCAAGTGCTCACTAAGGCTGCAATCAATCATTGACAACAAGACAAGAAATTAACACACTATGAGCGAGCACTCGCGATCATTCCTAATGACAAATTTGTACGTCTGTGTGGTATACGCGGACAAGGTCCATATTTCCAACCCCCCTGGCGCTGATCAATTGCTAATAGTAAGCTGCAGTGGGTAATGCAGGCGAGCAGACAGCACCTAATTTGATGTGCCTATACGCGTCGGACGGTGGCGTTCCCACCACGGCGGACATAAAGAATGGTTTCGACTCGCAATGTCCGTCGGATGCGGTGCAATACGACTGCAGATGGAACTCGGAGCTGGTGCCCTTTTCATTGCTGTCGCCCGCGAGTGAGCCCCCGAAAGGAACCTGAATCCCGCTTGGCCATGGCTGATCTCGAGATTGGCGACAGGGAGCGGGGCGGAGCTCATGCAGGGAGTGCCGAATGCCGCCTCGGCTCAAGACCAGCTGGTGGGGGGGGGGGGGGTTTTTCTCGTTTTGCATTGAACCCCAAGCCTCAGCGGCGAGGTTTCTTCGAGAACAATAGTCTTCCGGTTGGCGGTTGGTGCAGTTCGTGTGGTTACCTCGCGTCAGGCATTGATATGCAGAGGACCTAAAGGGTGAGCGGAACCGGGATGGGGTGGTTGCGCTTCGCTATCAAGAACACACGGTTATGACAGTCACACTTTGGTGCAAGGTTGGTAATTTATTACATACCTACCTATGTGAGAGGTTACTTTTCTGCCTATGCAATTTCTTAGAAGCTGGCTACTAAAGTCGAAAGCAAGGTCTGGTAATGACAGCTCGTTCTCGAGCCCTAAAAAGCAGTCCCATCTACTGCTACAATAACAGATCTACTGCGACAATAACAGATCTACTGCGACAATAACAGATCTACTGCGACAATAACAGATCTACTGCGACAATAACAGATTTAGCAAGATAGCCTTGAAAAGACCATCCTCGAGTGTATTACCATGCTAGAAAATCTAACATGACAAACCGATTGCAATTAGGCAAGCTAAGCAAGATATGGGAGAATACAATTAGGTCTTACCGGCTTTCTGCTGATGGGAGGAAGCCATTGGACTTGGGTACCGGGTAGCTGTGAGGACCAGATCAGTCAAGGAAGGAGCTCTTGGGTGAGAGTCTCCTGTCTCTTACGGCTGATGAGAACTGCGATGCCTGCAATTGTAACGGCCGCTTTTCCTCAAAAGGGTGTGTGGAGATGTCGCCCTCCGAATTGCCTAGGCTCATGCTCAGCTCCCGTCCTGTTATGTTGGCTGTGTGGACGCATCTCAACAAATCAGTGGACGAATTGAGCTAGACGCTCCGAATCCCGAGACTCTCCATACGACGAGCCCTATTACTAATGCCTGGGTCACTGCGCGGATGCCGTCATTCAGCCCTGATCCTGCATGAAACGCGAGACGGCGCCAACGCTTGTAAAGGCCGAATAATGACATCTCGTTTAATCGGGCTGGAGCCGGCTTCCCTTTGTCGGTGAGCAGACCAACAGGCTCATTGGCCTGTGTCTATATCTGGCCCTCCTAAGATTGGCCCCGTACGGAGGATTCACCCGCCCGGACTGATTGTCGGCCTGGCCGAAATCCATCGTCCCGCACCAGGAAAAGAGCAGCAGGCGGCCTGGTTTCGGGTTCTTGACAAATGGACCTGATTCAATGGCAAACAGAACGGGATTGGCACCTAAGAGATGGCCGATGGCACCGGTAGCCCCAACATGCCTTCATGGTATGGCTGCGGCTGCTTGTAGCGAAGGAATGAAACCCGCTGCGACTGCTTCAGAGCTTTTGCGGACTAGCAGATCACTCTAGTCAGGATCTTTGTGCCAGATCTGCCGGTATCTGAGCGCCAAGGGGACGCGATGGCAAGGTTTATATTTCAGCTGCTCTCTCCGTCTCTGGAACCCAAACATTCATCCATCCATCCATTCAGTTCATCATACTAGTGCCTCCCCATTGACTAGTATCATCAAACAGCCATGGCGGAGCTTGTCGATATCCCAGAGCCACCTGGTTGGCCTTTCGTTGGCAATATTACTGCCCTGAACCCCGACTTCCCTCTGGGTTCCATGACAGCGCTTGCTGACCAGTACGGTGAGTCAATCAGCCCGTCTCATTGTCCGTAGTCTGTTCGTTGGACTTAATCTCATTGCCTTTCTCTCCCTCCATATAGGTGAAATTTATCGCTTGCGTTTTCCTGGACGTAGTATCGTTCTAGTTTCTACACATGCGTTGGTCAACGAAACTTGTGATGAGAAGCGCTTCAAAAAGAGCGTCAATGCAGCTTTGAAGGAGGTTCGCCATGGTATCCATGATGGACTCTTCACTGCTACTGGCCCGGAAGAGGAGAACTGGGGAATCGCCCATCGCATCCTGATGCCCGCGTTTGGCCCATTGTCCATCCGCAAAATGTACGATGAGATGCACGATATTGCATCGCAGCTGGCCCTTAAGTGGGCGCGCTACGGCTCTGATACCCCTATCATGGTTACGGATGACTTCACACGATTGACGTTGGATACTCTGGCTCTTTGCTCCATGGGCTACCGTTTCAACAGCTACTACTCGCCCATCATGCACCCTTTCATCGAGGCCATGGGCGACTTTCTTCTGGAGGCCGGTCAACGAGGTCGTCGCTTGCCGCTGCCGGCCTTTATGTACCAGGCTGTAGACAAGAAGTTTGAAGATGATATCAAAGTCCTAAGAGACACAGCCAGAGGTGTTCTTGACGCCCGAAGAGCGGGGAATGACGACCGTTATGACTTGTTGTCGGCCATGTTGAAGGGTCGGGATAGCAAGACCGGCAAGAAGATGACGGATGAGAGCATCATGGACAACCTCATCACCTTCTTGATTGCTGGCCATGAAACCACGTCCGGTCTGTTATCCTTTGCCTTCGAGCAGCTATTCCGCCACCCTGAAGCATACCAAAAGGCCCAGAGGGAAGTGGACGAAGTTGTTGGAAAGGGACCCATCACTGTCGACCACCTGTCCAAGCTGCCCTACATCAACGGAGTGCTCCGCGAGGTGCTCCGAGTAAATGCCCCAATTCCCGCGTTCACTGTCCTACCTTTTGAGGATGAGATTATCGGTGGCAAATATAAAATTGAGAAGGGTGAGACCGTTGTCAACCTACTCGCCAAATCGCAACTTGACCCCGTGGTCTTTGGAGACGATGCGACCGAGTTCAAACCGGAGCGTATGATGGATGAGCCCTTTGACAAGCTCATGAAGGAGTTCCCCAACTCCTGGAAGCCATTTGGTAATGGAATGAGAGGATGTATCGGTCGGCCATTCGCCTGGCAAGAGGCTCTTCTAGTCATGGCCATGCTCCTGCAAAATTTCAACTTTGTCATGGAACCTGGCTTCACTGGTGCCATCAAGCAGACGTTGACCATCAAGCCCAAAGACATGTATATGCGGGCCATCCTCCGTGACGGTCTGACGCCCACTACGCTCGAGAAGAGACTGGCTGGGCGGGATGGTGCTGAGAAGGCCGAGTCCAAGGCGGCGTCTAATGGTGCCGATGACTACAAGAATGCTGCTGGCGTGCCGCTGACTATCCTCTATGGCTCCAACAGCGGAACCTGCGAGGCTTTGGCTCAGCGAATCGCAACCGATGCACCAGCCCACGGTTTCCGTGCTGCCAAGGTTGATTGCTTGGACAGTGCCAAGGGCCAGCTGCCTAAGACTCAGCCTCTTGTCATTGTCACTGCTTCATACGAGGGACAGCCCCCTGACAATGCCGGCCACTTCGTTGCCTGGATTCAAGACTCGGCGGAGAACTCCCTTCAAGATGTTTCTTATACAGTCTTCGGCTGTGGCCACAAGGATTGGGCGGCCACGTACCACAAAATTCCCAAGTTTGTCGACAGCCAGCTTGAGAAGCTGGGTGCCAGCAGGATTGCTGAAATCGGCCTGGCGGACGCCTCTGGCGGTAATCTCTTTACCGAGTTCGAAACCTGGGAGGACAACGTCTTGTGGCCATCTCTGTCCAGGAAGTTTGACGTCTCAAGCGCAGATGCAGAGGAGCTGAAGAAGACACAGACGGGAGTCAAGGTGTCCCTCTCTACCCCTCGATCCTCGACGCTCCGTCAAGAAGTCAAGGAAGCCGTTGTTGTTGAAACGCATACTCTCACTACCAAGTATGAATCAAAGGCAGTCAAGAAGCATATTGAAATAAAGCTCCCAGAAGACATGACCTATGCGGCCGGTGACTATCTGGCCGTCCTTCCAATGAATCCTAGGGAAAGCGTCCACCGTGCCCTCCGACGATTCAAGCTGCCGCGCGATGCTCACTTGGAGATTAACGTCGCTGGTGGAGCTTCGACTTTGCCAAGCAGCAATTCCATCTCGGCCAACGACATTCTAGGGTCGTATGTCGAGCTGTCGCAGCCTGCGACTAAGAGGGTAAGAAAAATATCATAGAGATGAACCTAGACTTACATTGCTGACCGTGTCTGATAGAGCATCAACTCTCTAGTAGAGTACACTACTGAGGAGAGCACCAAGGCTGAGCTTAAGAAGCTCGCAAATGAATCTTTCGAAGCAGAAGTCACGGCAAAGCGTCTATCCGTTCTGGACATACTGGAGCGTTTCCCTGATATCGACCTTCCCATCGGCATCTTCCTTTCTCTGATGCCCCCTATGCGCGTTAGGCAATAGTAAGTATTGATGTTTACTAGATGATGCAGACAGAAAGCTAATCGCCCCTACAGCTCCATCTCCTCCTCTCCAATCTGGAACCCTCATCACGTCACGGTGACATTTTCCGTCCTCAATGAGCCCGCACTATCCGGCCAGGGCTCTCACATCGGTGTCGCCACATCGTACCTCGACTCGCTCTACGCAAACGACATCATCCATGTTGCTGTGCGGCCATCCCACGCCGCCTTTAGCATGCCCACCAAGCCCGAATCCACGCCCGCCATCTACATTGCTGCCGGCAGCGGCCTCGCCCCCTTCCGCGGCTTCATCCAGGAGCGCGCGACGATGCTGTCGCACAACAGCACCCGCAAGCTGGCGCCGGCGGTGCTCTTCTTCGGCTGCCGCTCGCCGGACCAGGACGACCTGTACCGCGAGGAGCTGGACGAGTGGGAGAAGCTTGGGGCCGTCAAGGTCTACCGGGCGTATAGCCGGGCTGCGGAGAAGAGCAATGGTCTGAAGCATGTTGATGACGCCATGTGGGAGTACCGTGATGAGCTTCTACAGCTGTGGAAGCAGGATGCCAAGATTTACGTGTGCGGATCTCGAGGCGTCGCGCAGTCCGTGCAGTCCGCGGTCATAAAGATTAGGGCGGAGTGGGAGAAGAACAATGAGGTCGATGTTGGTACGGAGGATTGGTTTGAGAGTTTGAGGAACACGAGGTATGTGACCGATGTATTCGACTAAACGCCTCAACGAGTGTCGAATATAGGGGGGCAAAAGCGAGATGTTTTATGTGTTTCATACCTGAGATATTGTATTCAACCTGGTCACTTTCAAGCGTATCGAAAGAATGAGACGAATCATGTAATTAGAAGACGAGAGATTTGTTGAGAGAGTATTTATTGTTTGGGAGAAAGCTAGCAAACTTTGCATTAAACGAGAAGGCCGAAATCTAAGAACCAATTAAGAACCGACTGCCATCCTTCTACCCCTATATCGAACCATCAATCCCAACCGGGTCTCTTCAGCCAGACCCCAACCCGCGGCTCTCGAGGCGAAAAGGCCATTTACTTGGGGGAGGCGGCGGCGCCAGCCTCGCCGACGAGGGAGCCGACCTTGACGGAGGCAGCGGACTGCTTGAAGGCGTCGAGGGAGGCGCTGACGGAAGCAGCATCGCTCTGGAGCTCAGGGACGCGCTCGCCGATGGCCTCGACGACCTTGCTCATGATGTCGAGGAGGTTGCCTGGAAGGTGGTAGCTCTTGGTTAGCAAAAGGGGCGACTTGAATCACTCGGAGAGATGGGCTCATACCGAAGGTAGGGGCGTTGGCGGCATCGGCCTTGGGAGCAGCAGCCTGCTGGGCGGCCATGGCAGAGCCAGCGAGGAGAGTAGCGACAATGGCGAAGACCTTCATTTTGAATGTGGTGAAAGAGAGTTGGACTCGGAAAAGTTGGTTAAAGAGTGTGGAGTGAAGGTTGAAGGAAGAAGCTGTTGCTTTGTTGTCTGAGAGTTGATTGATGCTGATGAACAAAAAGTCGAGATGGAGGAGAGATCTGAGCCTTCTTATATACAAAAAATGAGGCGTCATAACACGTCTCCGATCCAGACTGAGTCGTCTCCGATTCCCGTTTGCATATCCAACGTTTTCGGATCTTCCCTAGATGGGATCTAGGGAGCGGCCACCGTTCGAGGGAGCAGTCCAGGAGTGAGGAATGCTGAATGCATAGAAGGACTGGGAATGAATCGCAAGGGCGGAACGGGACAGCATCCCTAGAGGGTTCGGAGTGGATGCCGCAATGTTTTCTTTAAACCGTCTTCCGTGATTCCACATGCCAGGCGGATGTGAGTCAACCGTTGTCACAATGCGATACTCATTTGCTTTTGATGGCCCCTTCTGGTTCTGCAAGCGTTGAGCCGTTGGTCCCGGCCCCTAGCTAGCAGGCTACCCGTTTTCTAGCTCGGTAACTTGATGAACTGTCTCACCCCCTGATACCGTCGATCGTGAGACGGAGGGCGACTGAGACTTCTAACGAGAGGCAACTCAATCTTTGCGGATCATTAACGGCACGCACGCAGCGGTATGCAAGCGCGTGCGCAAGCCGTAAACAGTATTCCTAAATGGTTGCGTGGGCAAACTTCCATCCAGGGAACATCGTCAAGTCTGAAACTATCAGATTGTTGATCGACTGGGGAGGGCAACGGTGTGACCTGGCGTTTGTCCAGGAGGCTCTTGGTTTCGTCTTTGGGAAATCGGCGTCTCCCAAAACGCGTTCGTTACAAACAAACAGGTGTGCCGCCTTTGATTCATCGTCATGATTGTCAGTACGCTTGGAATGCTTGGATATGAAGTCGCCATGCCTCGATTCCACTGCTACCACCATTGTGCTATCACGCGATAATATTAGGAAACGCGACATGCTTGTCAGAAAGCCGGCAGATTGCAATGCATCGTAGTCTACATCTGTTACGGGGCCTTTCCAAGTTTCTTCTATCTGGTCGTCTCTAGGACATGCACTTCAAAATCGGCATTCACGTTGACCAAGTCGACCATGCTGTAGAGTATGGGATGTTATCTGTGCATCTGGGCCAGTCGTTCTAGGTGATGTTGGTGTGTTCAATCAAGCGACTCAGTTTGTCAACTTTAGCCGGTGCAAGCCAATCCATAGGTGGACGGGCAGTTGGTGATGCCTTCAGGCTCGTCGCGTTGATTGATGCTTGATGTTCAAACTAGGCCATGACCAACTTCATGAAACTCTCCATGATGAGCGAGGTCCTGTGATTCACGGCCTCAGCCAATATTTGAACGAGGATAAATAGCCCATGTCGCGATGAAAACTGACCTCTTCGTTCCCATCATCAACAGTTTCACCAAAACCCAACGAGCTTATCAGTCTTTGCAACCAACGAATACCCAGACCGATCCAGGTGCCAGTAATTAAAGCCTTCAATACGCTCAAACATCCATTTAAGTCAAGATGAACACCAACATCACGATCAACCTCCCACGGCCATCGCCGGCCACTATCTCTACTGGAACTCCCAACGATGTCAAGAAACATTGGGTCAGACAGTACCAGCACCTTATGACTTATCTTGATAAACAACTCGACAAGAAACAGATTCTGTACATGATAACAGCATCGCTGGAGTGGGACTTGTATGCTCAACTTGAAAAGTGCAGAGTTGACATGACTGATCCGAGCGAGATCCTGGCATTCCTCAATGTTTGCTGAAAAAAAAAACAGAGAATCCAAGAATTCTCCCATCCGACATCACTATGGCGTCTGCTGGAAGCCTCGATTAGGTACAGAAGTCTCGGGAAACGGGTGCAAGTTTTGAAGTTCTAGCACGCAAGTTGTTGTTATTTTTGGTCTGGCTTTTCTGTGGTCTCTGCTCATTCTACAACGAAATGCGATATGTCTCTATCATTGGCTCGCTGTGCCTTTTGATAGCTTGTCATTTAAGCTTAGTCGCAATCTGAGGGAGACTTGACATCAACTTTTGCCGTTTTCCCTTACATACGCCGCTGTGATCTTGTAAACGTTTCTTGACAATACTAGTACGCCCCCCACCAGGACTGCAGCCTGGTCGAACTCGGTCACAGATATTCTCACATCCGGAAACAGGATCTGTATCGGAAACATCACCCATGCAGTATACTCGAGCCACAGTAAGACACCGTAGAGGAAGACCGCCACGCACGTGAATTTGGTAACATCCAGGACCAGCCGGAAAGCGGTGTCCCGCCCCTCCCCCTTCGCCATTCTCCATGACTTCATGGCGTCCGAACGCAGCTGATCAAAATACATCCATGGGCTTGGTTGCTTTGAAGCCACTATGAGACACTGCACGACGACACCTATGGGCATGAGCGGCACGGGCACGAGCAGCAGGGCCGCGGCAAGATACACAGGGAACGTGAGATGATGCAGAATTGAGTAGTGGACGGGCAGCAGGCCGTGGCTCGCATAAACAAGGAGCTTGACAAAAAGGACCACCTCCGTGATCCATGCCCAGAATAAGCTGACAAGCAGGACTCCGAGGAGACGACGGTGGGGAAACTGCGGTGGCTTCGGGGGGGTATGGTGAGCGAGGATTACCAGAACCAGAGAGACGAGACACAAATAAATGCAGTTGTCCGCGATGCGCAACGCCGCGTTGATGGATGCGACCAGAGGGAATATCGTCTCTCGGCCCTCCATCGAGACATCGAGCACGTAGACCCCGGATTCGGTACCCGCTGAAACCGGGCCATTCACCTCGGGCATGAGAATGTTGGCCAGGTTATTGGCGAGGTACTGGCTCCTGGCTGATGGGAAGCGGATGGTCTGGTAGAGGAGGTGAGCGCTGGCGGCGATCGGGTAGACCACCACCGCGATGAGTTCATTTGTGATCCGAAAACGCTGCCATGTGTTGAAGAACCAGGACAGGGCTACGCATATGACCAGGACATACCAGCAGGCAATGAACCCGGGGCCGTAGAATCGAGACGCAAGCGCCTCTCGCCCGAGTCCGAGGCCGATCACTTCAACGCTTGGAGCCATTCAGTGCTTCGTCTGATATTGGGGTAGATGCCTGCAGGTTTTCATTGGGACAGCTGGCACAAGTACCCGTACCAGAACATCTCCCAGATAATCAGATCACAACGTCGTAGGATGCTACATAGTTGCGGCGGTGCAGCTCTGCCAAGGCGCGGACCCATCCCACTACCCTGTACAGATAATCACATGTATTACCACAATGAAGATCATAATGTAAGGTACTTTTACGCGTATATATCCATGTCCAGAAGTGGAACTGCAGTTGGACTTGTTTCCAGTCTAAATTTAATCGTTTTTTCTATATGTTTGGGATTTAGCTTGTATGTAATGCAGTGATAAGCACTGCCAGTATCGTGACAAAAGGCCTATTGGCCAAGGTCATCTATCTATTTGCGACGACCTTTAGTGGAGTTCATGGATACAATTGATATTGATAAGTACACGTATGCGCGTACAGTAAAATGTCTGACATTGCGGGACTTGCCAAGCCTCAAAGGGCAAGCAACGCATCCAGTTTTGCCAGGTCATACTCTGACTGATATTCATGCTAGAGTCCCCCATATGCGTGGATGCAATAAGATGTAGTAGTTCCAAAACACCGCAGTGCAGAACTCAAGATGTCGTAAAGTCGTTGACAGATAATGCTCACAATATGTGTGTCAGTTCCATGGGGTTTGTGCATGCGCGATAAACCGCCAGGTATTTGTAGATACATGCCATCGTGGAATATATACAGACGTTTAGTAAGATAGTAAGACAATGGGCATAGATCTGACAGAGATTACACACGTAAGGGCCCTTTATCGTCGCCAAACAGCTCATTGTACCATGGTCTCGAGCCTTTCTGGCAGATCTCGTCCCACTCCATTGAGTCAAAGCGGGCTGGAAGGGAGTCTTTCCCAGGGCTGTAGTTTGTCACACGGGCGCCCTTGTCGGCCTGGTAGAGAACTTTCTTATCACCTTCGTCCACCCTCGCCAGAGGACGCGGCGAGTCGGGGCTGGACTGGAGCGTGTCCGTGACAAGCTCGCGAAGTCGTGGGTAAAACCACATCTTATCCCACCAATTCTTCAACCGCCATGACTTGAGGCCGTCGATGTAGGCGTTGTGGTGGATGCCCACCGGAGCAATGCCGAAGAAAAAATCTGTGTATAGCGACTGGTCCTCCCATTTGACGTTTTGGAATCGGTCCTCTTCCGGTCCCGATTTCGAAAGCTCGGGTGGCACTCCTTCAACGCGAACGCCGTTGGGCACGCCCGCTTTCTCGGACAGCTCCTTGATGGCGGCCGCATCCGACATCTTAACAAAGTACCCATCCTCCTCTGCGGAGCACGTCGCGGGGGCGGTGGTGAAGTTGTAGTCCAAGCCGATCCCAAAGTCGAACCGCACCCCTCCCAGGGCCTCCTCGGCGATGCGGCGCACGTGGTCGTCCGACGTTGAGTTGACGCTCTCGGCTATGCTCCCGTCCCAGGTCGACGCCAGCTCCCTCACCCATGTGCGCCATGCTTCCTGGTCGCCGATGACTTCGCCAAACAGCGCTTGGTCGCTCCAGAGCTGGCGGCCTTCCCTTGCGACCTGTTCGACCTTTTCCCTGCAACGGCGCAGCGAGTCTCGCATGGCGCCCATGGTGCCCATGATCAAACCGCTGTTTACACACCGAGGACGGATTTTACGATACTTACGTGCGGAATCCCACAACGGCGGCGTCAGCATGTCCGTTCCCTCCCCGTAGAAGTCAGTCGGCATCGGCGACGGCGGCCAGAGTTCATAGTGTGGATCGGAACCGGAATCAGGCAGAGGGAAGCAGTCCTTGGCGGTTGTCACGATGATGGACTGCTCTGGGGGAGGGATTGGGAAGCTCTGGTGGGAAGCAGACTGCTCCCAGAGCTGGCGGTTGCGCTCATTCGCCTCGCGATTGAGTTGGTTGAACCGCTGGATGAGGACCGACGGAGGGAGCTGGAACCACAGGTCATATGCGTCTATCATGAGCGCTAGGTCGTCCTCGTGCGCGTCTGGATCGTTGTCGAGGAGCTCTTCGATCACTGCCAGCAGGCTCTCGAGCTTTGCGATGTGGGTGCCAGCGAACTGCCACTCGGGTCGGTTGAAGTCGCCATCCCAGTTGAGGAGGATGGGGAGGGGGTAGCCGAGTGCGAGGCCGGACATGACGACCTTGCAGAGGTTAATGCCCGGGTTATCGGCAGGCATGAATACACGCAGCCGTCGTTCACTCGAGGTCGGTCCATGGCTCTCGGCACTAATTACGAGGCTCTCGAGCTCGGCCTGGTTTAGTGTAATATGGTTGGATATCGATGGGCTCGGGACACTCGTGCTGGGGATGCTACATGATGACTGCGGCTCTTATTAGCTCCTCCGTGGGTTTCTGTTGGATCTTGAAGCACAACTTGACGGGAGGATCTTACAAGGGAAAGATAGAGGAAGACGGCAGAGGCCACAAAGAACAGTGTCACATGGAATTTGGCCCCGCCAAGCCGTGGGCGGCCTCGTAAGCTCGTGGCCATGTCAAATCAAGGGAAGATAGGGAGGAGGAAAGCAAATCATGTTCTCCAGGCAAGGAGGATAGGCATAGCAAGATGCTTGGATGGCCAGCTACCTGTGAGGAAGAACAAATGCAACGCAACATAGAGGTCAGCAAACCCGCGAGGAGACATCACAGCACAATCTGGTCATGATAGGGTGTTTGAGAAGCTAGCCAAGCAAAGCCAAGAGGCTTAGCAAGGATGTGACGACGCTTAGATGGTGGGAAACGCATACCCCAGTGGATAAAAAATCGGTCATGGCCAGAGCCCCGTTGTTCTGATGCGACTAGCTCCATCTCATACCTGGCATACTGGAGATTTTTTGCGGGTAGAAAGCCCACGGCAGGGGGGAAAGGGGGCAAATTGTCCGGACATGATGTTTTTAGAATAAGCTTGGATGGACTTCGGAACTAGCAGCTACCGATCGCCGGCACGAGGGAACTATTTGACAGGACAGGCCGCGGCATAGGAGGAGGCAGGGCGGTCGGCGACAAGGGGGCCTGGCCGCGAATCAAGCAAATCAAGTGAACGCTATCGGCCATGCTGGCACGCACGAATTGCTTTTTGGCATCAAATGCGTGACCCTGGACAGCCTCGTTGGTGATGGTGTTGGATGAGGGAGGTCATGGAAGTGGCCAAGCGCGATGCCATGCGGTGTGAATAAGGTGAAGAGTGGCCGCTGTGTAATTACGTAGCCCCCTGTAGCGCCTGTAGTGCGAGCCGCCAGCGCACACGGGAGGCTGAAGCGCACGCTCATACGTCGGCAGCGTTGCAGGAGTGGGTAGCAGCGGCTGCGGTGGTGTCAGCCAGGGCCTAAAATAGCGGGTGGGAGGGGATTACGTAGCCGGTCCCGGTGCGTACTAGCGCTGCGGCACCGCTGAAGCCTCCTGGGGCCCTATTGAAGCCTCAGATTTAGGGGCCTCTAGTTCAGTTTGCATTGAATCAGCCCCTTCCTTTCGCCGGTGCTTACGTAGGTCCAGTGGAATGTGTTACAGGAATACTCCTGCACCAACAAGCATTGATGTGGGATGACCGCGAGCACCTGTGCCGCCATTGGCCCTTGCCGTGGGCAAACTGTGGTTCTCTCCCATGTGTCCCATGTAGTCCTCGCAAATCAGCAGTTCTTGGCGATGCTCTGTTTTTCAAGGCTGGTTGCCTCTCAGGCTTGGCTCCTGACAATGTCTCCAGTTCATATGACAGCTGATGCCGTTGCTCGGGCGCCGTCAGATCTCGTGCTCGTCCCATCGTCTTGCTGCTGTGCTCTTGTTCGGTAGAGACCTGCACTGCCAGGTCGAATTTTCTCACCAACCATGGCAGCAACCAGACATTCGGCTGGTGATACTCTCAGAACCATTCTGGGGTTCTCTCTGATAGGTACGTCATCCCATGGTGGTGGTGTTCATGCTCTGCAGCCCGTCAGCATTCAATCCATCCATGTGTTCGGTGAACGAGCCAACAACTGACATATTGGGACTTTAGCCTTTGCCAACACGCTTATGCCACTCATTATTTACTCTTCGGCCTATTTGATCATATGTTTTCCACGGCCCATCGTCAATCTGATACAGACCGTCCCTGCCCTTGCTGGCAAACTTCTTCTTCCACAATTGCTGCGAAGCTGGCTTCCCTACTGGTTCCGCCCCCTGCTCATCTGCTTTGGCTGGATTGGCTCTGCTGTGATTGCTGAGGCCACGCCCCCCAATGTCGACCCTCGGCTCCGGATCTTATGTGTCGTTCTCGCCTCTATTCAGGCTGCCGGTGGTGATGTTACCTGGCTGGGAAATCTGAGACACTATGGTAAGCCCGGTTTGGTGGGATGGGGAATTGGTTCTGGAGTCGGTTCCGTTGTCAGCGCCGTGTTACCTTACTTTGTCACCGTTACGCGGAAGATGTTCCTTCGAGACGCCGTCGGCTACATTATATATCTGGTCCCGGTAGTAGTCGTCTCACACTTTTTCATTCTACCGCCTTTTCCTACCTCGGAGGCTCGAGACCGCCCCCAGCACAGCAAGGATGATAAGGAGAAACTGGAGAGGTATGAGCCTGCTGGTACTGACGCACCGACGAAGCGTATGAAGGCGATGGAGCGTATCGAGGCGAATAACAGAATACTGAGCCGCCTGGCATCGCCGTATGTGATTCCTCTGTTCATGAGCTCAATCGGGTATGCCGTATTATACCCCGGGTTCGTTCGCGCCATGGGAACCGTTCCCTCCTTTGACCGGTACACGAGCTATTTGGCCGCATATGGCCTCACTTTCCAGCTCGGCAATTGCATGGCCCGCTCTTGTCTGACCTTGATCCGCTTTCGCAACACGAGACTGATGCTTGCTCTTCTTGGACTCGTTTTCCTGGCCTTGCTGTGCAATAGCATATTCTCGATCGCAACCGCGCCAATCCTGGTGTTCCCCCTGGTCTTCATAGGGGGCTTTGCTACCGGCGCCGTTTACATCGACGTTTTCGCATCACTTGTCGAGCATAGAGACCACGAGTCTGGCGCGGATCTTGAGTTTGCTCTGGGAGCAGTCGGTGTTGGAGAGCCTGCGGGCATGCTGCTTGGGGGTTTAATAGCTACTGTTCTGGAACAATGGCTCTGCGGCTCTGGCCTGGCTGCTGGAGAACGGTGGTGTCACACGACGTGGTGACCACCTTGCTATTTTCAAGTTTGTTTGTGCATATAGACCAAAATATTAATGACACCTTTCCAATACTTTCTGTTGAGCACCGAAGTGTGACTTATCGTGACTGGACGCACCCTCTCCGGGTTTTCAAGAATTGCTTGTTCTGGACGGATATACTGCAGGTCAAGGCATGGTTCAGGAGTTTCTGGATGGTATGGAAGCCTCCACAACACATTGGGGATCATGTAGCGAACGCCGTTAACGGCCAACACTCATTCGGTCGGCCATCGATTTCCAGCGACTTCTCCCGAAGGTAATAAGATCACATGGTGGGATATCACATATCCCAAGATCAGCACCAGCAACCCAGAGCTCGCTGGCTTTGCAAAGGCTATCGCAATCACTAACATTAATCAAGCTGATCCTTAGGTGTATATCTTGACTGAAGTTGAATAATTATAATATGCTCTGTAGACATATTATCCAGTATAATTTGATTAGGTTGACTAGTATCGGTCATTGAGATAGCCTTGGTAAAGCCAGTGAGCTTCGGATTGCTGTTACTGATCTCGGGCCCCATGATATCAGATCATATGATCTTATTGCCTTCGAAAGAAGGCGCTAAGATTGTGTTTTTTTTTTGCATGGTGTATCGAAGGCTGCGGACGTGTCAGTGTAATTGCTCTGGCCAAGGGGCTACTGGTACTCGCTGAGTTGGTTGGCATCCAAAAAGCCCTGAGCTTGGTGCATTGAAGTGGTTGGATTGAAGACGAGTGTATAAAGCAAGCCAGATGAAAGAGAATAGCTTAAATAGTCATTCGACGAGCAGCTCGTCCTGACGACAAGTGAGTCATCGGTGTAAAGGTTTACGGACTTTTCCTTACGCATGACTATATCTTGGGCTAGCAAAGGCTTTTTTCAAACTTTCGTATTCATCGTGTTGAGATGTCGGGCACTGGCATCTTCTATTGTTGTTTAACTTTATATGCGAACTCTCTTACGTACGTCGGCCTGCCATGACCATCGCGTCGGTTGGCGGGAAAAGGAGCTGGGATGAGGTACCCGAACCCTGCGTTCCGGTATGGTTCAAACGAAGAGAAGAGATAATATGGACTTTTGCCACTGCGCTGAATCGAGGCTGTCGCTTTGCTTCCGGGAATACGCTCAGAACTGATGGTATTGACACAATGGTAGATATTTGGCGCGTCGAGTGTTTACCTGGGAGAAGTACGTCCTGCACTTCTCCCCAATCGTCGAATTCAAGCCACCCCGGGCATTTCATATTCAGTATTCCGGGATGCTTGTCTCCTGGTGGCCAATGGGCTTTAGTCACTGGGATCTCGGGGTCTAGATGCCAACTGCATGAGCTTGCCATTCGCCTTGCCCTGACTAGGAAACTACCTAGGATTCTTTAGTTTCAATTTACAGCTGCTGTGATCCGCGCCTGTCAATTGAGTTGGGGGATGACATGGGATTGGTCACAAAAATTTTAATACTGTGTCAGCAGGTTAATTTGGCTCGATTGTGCAATGAGGGGGAAGGCTATTTGTTTCTTCCTGTCATCTAGTCAACTGACCTAAGCATCCCTCCCTTTTGTCAGGCAAGCACCCCTGGAGCTGTCGAGGAATCCCGTTCATCACCTTGTTGTGGCCAGAGGCACTTTGGGATTCGCCAATCAGGATTTTTTCCCGATTCTTCGAAAGCCTTTCACCGCATGGCGCATGCTCATGTGAGATCTAGAAGTTGCAGCTTCGGGTTGCAATTCGCTGCTCTCGGATGATATTTACCCTGGAATACGACCTTGTCGGATCATATTGGCCAGGTTTATGGTTACAGTGCCGCAAAGCGAGACACCAACAGCCGGCCTCGATGCTACATGTCACTACTGGCTGCTCACTCCATCCTGGACATCCAACATCAGGCTAAATTGAAAAACATGCCAGCTTACCATTCCCTCCAGTGACCTCTGCAGGCCATTTGACGGGATCAAACATGCAGGGTCCCTCTACTGGAGAGCTCTCTGCGATCACGATACCACTCTGGGTGAAGGCAACATAAGCCAGCCAACAGCGTGCAGTTACCTCCCGCTCCGCATCACCATCTCACCGATCTCCAAGATTCCATCCAATGTTCGAAAACCATGGTACGGTAGCTCTGGCTTTCGGAACCCGCGCCGGAAAGAGCTGCATGCACGCCACTCTCCCCCATTATTACCCCAGACACCTCAGCCCACCCAATTGGCCAGCCCCGGCCCCCCCTACTTTGTGTATGACACCCCAGCCAGTGCCTCCTCTTTCTCCCGTGTTTTCTCGTCTTGTGAATGGCCGAATGGGCCTGGGGGCCTTGGGCCGTGTGTGAGCCTCAACAAGCGGACCAGCCAGCAGAGGCTCTGGCCTGCATGCGAGTTCCAAAAACGACAGCTCGGCACAATATTCCACCAATGGTCCGTTTCGACGGGGGTCCCTTTGTGAATCCCATCGAAAAAGCTCTGTTCATCGACCTTACGGCCCGACGTTCCTTCTCACGGGACATTGGATGAGACATCTGATCGAGAACAATCGACGCCCACGTTGGGGGTTGGGGGGAGGGGTTCATGGCAATATGAGATCCCGGTGGGAGAGAGCTCTTCTTACCCAATGCAGCTCATGGTCCCGCGAAATGGGGAGCTATACTCTTTTGTATTATACCGACGGGTTTCTTCTGCATCCTGAGGTTGCATCTTAAAGGCCGTCTGCTCCCCTCACTTCACCTGGCCCGTCTGAAGATTCTCTCTACGGCTCGTCCTTGCAATTCAACCCTCCAGCATTGGCAATTCTTGGAGCAGAAAGCAAAATGGGAGACAATACCAAGACTGGCGCTCAGATCGAGAGTGCTGAGGCTGATCCCAACCGCCTTCAAGATGTTGACCTGAACGACAAGGGGCTCAATGCTGAAGCCCTTGAGGGCAACGCACAAGAGCATAGCCTTACCTTCCTTCAGGCAATGAAGACGTATAAGCGCGCAGCGTTTTGGTCGATTAGTATGTGAAGACTGCAAAGACAACGTGTGAGAGTAACCGTTGCTAACCGGTTGATCTCCGCAGTGATCTCGTTGACCGTCATCATGGAAGGGTACGACGTGACGCTCCTCAGTTCCTTCTACGGCTACCCCAAGTTTCGAGAGAAGTACGGCGAATGGCTCAACGAAGAGAGCGGATATCAAATCTCCTCCGCCTGGCAGCAACGATTCAATGCCCTCGCTGCCGTCATGAACATTATCGGTGCCATTCTCAACGGCTGGGCTACCGCGCGATGGGGCCACCGCAAGGTGCTCATAGTCAGCTTGCTCGCCTTGACCGGCTTCATCTTCATCGTGTTCTTTGCCCCCACCATAGAGATCATCCTCGTGGGTGAGATCTTCTGCAACATTCCCTGGGGTGTGTTCGCAACCACTGGCCCTGCCTACGCCGCCGAGGTCGTGCCAATGGCTATCCGCGGATACTTGACTGCCTACATCAACCTCTGCTGGGTCATAGGGCAGCTCATCTCCGCCGGTGTCCTCGCTGGGCTGGTCAATAACAAGTCAGAATGGTCCTACAGAATCCCCTTTGCCATCCAATGGGTCTGGCCAATTCCCCTCATGATCTTTGCCTATCTGGCGCCCGAGTCCCCCTGGTTCCTCGTCCGTCAGGGCAGATTGGACGAAGCCAAGAATAGCTTGAAGCGGCTCTCGGAGCCCAGCCACAACGTCAACTACGATGCCGCTGTGGCTCTCATGGTTCACACCAACAAGCTGGAGATGGAGGAGCGTTCCGGTGCCACGTACTGGGATGCTTTCCGGGGCACGAACCTTCGCCGAACGGAGATTGCGTGCATGGCTTTCCTCTCGCACATTACAAATGGCGGTGCGCTTTGCTACAGTGGAAGCTTCTTCTTCCAACAGACCGGCATCGCCGACGACGTTGCATACAACATCACCCTCGGCGGCAAGGGTCTCTCGTTTATCGGCACCGTGGTTTCCTGGTTCTACATCCACAGATTTGGACGCCGGAGAATCTGGCTCACGGGGTTCGGCACACTAGTCATCCTTCTCTGGCTTGTTGGTTTCCTGGCGCTGCCTCACCAGACCTTGGGTCTCGCCTGGGGCCAGTCCATCCTGTGCGTCGTGTGGCTGGGTGTTTACTCCATGTCTGTCGGGCCAATCGTCTACACCATGGTATCTGAGATTGGATCAACCCGTCTCCGAACCCAGACTGTTGTCCTTGGCCGAAGCGTGTACTACCTGGGTAACATCATCTGCGGTGGAGTCCTGCAGCCCAAGATGCTGGCTCCCGGTGACTGGAACTTGAAGGGAAAGACTGTAAGTTGATGCATTTCGATGCTGCCGATGAGCGCTGGACTGATGCTGATGATTCCCACTAGGCTTTCTTCTGGTCTGTGCTTGCTACTTTGACCTTTGTCTGGGGGTACTTCCGCTTGTTTGAGACCAAGGACCGAACATTCGGTGAACTGGATATTATGGTAAGTCGCATAACCTGCAAACCCTTACTCTCGAAGCTCGCTAACAGTCATCGTCAACAGTTCCAGAAGGGAGTGTCTGCCAGAAAATCGGCCAAGTATGTCATCAACAACGAGGATATGTTCATGGGTGAGCACATCGTCAATGAGAAGAAGGAAGAGGTGGGCCAAAATTGATTGCTGCACCGATCTGAAATTCGTCAGCATAAGCATGACGATGAAGAGGGAGGCTGAACTCTGGTGTTAAGATGACTGATTTCATGTGACCTATCCCATTTATCAACGAATGCCATTGATCAATTTACTACTAAGTTAGTGAGAGAGTAACTGATGCGTCGCACAGTGGATCGAGGCCTGATCCATCTCGCGATGTCCTCAACTTGGCGCCGGAGCAGCATTCTGATTGTGATCTCATGAATTTCTCAGCTATATGAAAGAAACTTACCTTGAATTTTCAATATAAAGCGGAAATTATACTGCAGGTTTATAGTAATGCTCTACCGAAAAGATTATTTCTCAATGTTCATAAAATATGGCATCCTTGTGGTGTGCAAGGGTGTGCAAGAGCTGACGGATCAGCGATTGAAGGCTTCCACGCCCAGATGAACTGGTAAATAGATAAGTAGAAAAGAGTTCAGTGGCAGCAATTATTAAGACTAATTTAAATAAAGAAGGCTTAGTTCACTGATGACAAATAGCCCGCTTGAACGTATGTGTTCTGACGTGATAAAATGATCTAGCACCAGTGTGCGGTTGACCACCATAATAAGCGAGGCGACCAACGTATCGCATGGCTGCCGCGCGCTTGACACACTCGTCATCATGTTGGTATGGAGGCCTTTGACATAGTCTGCTGACCTCGATGACCCATACGGCGCCCAAATTACGCACTGTGGGCTGGGTAACAAGGCTGAGAACCGAGCATGTGGCAGCCTGGACACTCCTTGATCAAAGCATGCCATGCCTTCACACGTGTCCATTAATGATGATGACGTCTACGGACTAGGCAGAGCTGAAATCATCGTTGCTCTTACTGGTGGTCTATTGATGGATCTGAAATTGCGGCTATAATTTTTCAACATAGTAAGTGGACACAGTTTTATCTCATCGAGAGGTTGAAGTTGGAAGATAATGCGATATTTATTGAAAACATTCTGGTGATCCTGTCCTCCAGTACAAAGCAGTCCATGATATAACAGAACCTAACTAAAAAGAAATCCTCCAAATGCGCAAGCAAGCAGAAAACTTGACATTAATGAGCAAACAGGCGTAATGCGAGATCGTGAAACTGTGAAAATACAAATATGTTAACCCTCCGGGCACAAATGTAAACAAATTGCTATGCGTGAGCATGATGGTCTATAATAAATTGAAAATAAATCAAGGAAGAAAAGTCATTGTTATCCCTTGTTCCAAGCGCTGTTATCCCAAGACAAAAGGAAAATTAAATCAAATAATGAACGGTACCGAAGACCATTAGCCGAAATCCGGGTATCAAGTTGTGAACATGAACGTCAGGCCGAGTCGTTTAGTAGTAGATCTCAACTCGCTTGCGCGAAGGACGACGTCGGTACAGTTCGTATACCTCGACACAGCGGCAGCGGCGATGTTTGCATGTTGAGCATCTTTCGCCGTCGTACTCTTCAACTTTTGGCTCCTCGATACGGCAGTAGCGTTCTCTGTAGCTTTCATGACGGTACTCGCTGCTGTAATCTCGGATTTTTGGGACCCAGGATGGCTTCGACTCAAAGCAAGCCCAGAGTTTGCCAGAGTTTCGATCGTAAGTAGCTTCTTTGCAGTACTTGATGCGGTAGTGCGAGCTGAAACGCTCGCTGTATTCGTGCTTGCACATGATGTAGACTATGTCTCGACTGAAATGAAGCTGGTTGGTTTTGCAGTTGTTGGATAGTAAGTTAGGTTACTTTGTGTTTGGTAGTAGCGATGAGTTGTTGGTGATTGTTGTATGCAGTTGGAACGAGAAATGAGGAGTCTGGGCTTTATTTGTACCTGATGGCAAAGTCATTTTCCACAAATGCAGTATTTAGACAACTAGGCAGAGAGGTCATGTGTATGAAACAGACGCGGCGATGAAAAAAATGGAAAATCTCAACGAGGCAAAGCAATCAGCTGAAACCCAAATGGCCAGCCGCGTGGTGGCAATTAGCGGAAGGGTCAGCCAAAAGAGACAGCCTTGTGCAAGATCTGAGAAGCGGACAGGCTTGGCCCAGCCTGATTTCATTGTCTTCGCTGTGAGATGATGGGAGTCACTGGAGTCACGCTTGAGAAAAACCAATCAACACTGCCACTCTCGCAAGGCTCTGGGGTCCAGAATCAGGCCTGGGACACCCTTTCGCAGAACCAACAGGCAGTAATGCAACCACTTGGCCTCGAATTGGGCCTACATGATGACCTCATGGAGGAGCAGCCACGGCGCAGAGCAGGTTGATGCCCAAAGCCAAGCCTGGGACAACATGACGGTGGGAAGGGGAGAAGGCAGCGAGGGTGCGGCAAAGCGAGACTGGACCGGAAACATGGGGAGGGAGAGAAGGCTATGGAAGAAAACTCCATGACGGCGGAGCTGAAAACGTCGCAAAGTGTAATAAAGTGATGACTTTGCCGTGACCCCTCGGATTGCCCCTCGTCCACTTCGTAGCCGGATGAGGTGCATATCAGATGGCCAAGCCTCCATCGTCCCGTGGCACCCTGGTAAATACACTTTTGTGGGATAGCGCAGGCATCAATCTGCGCAAGTAATTATGCTTTGCATATGACATGAACTGCTCTGTGCCTACAGCGATGCGCCGTCCCATTTTCCCGTTCCTGGTGGACCTGACTATTGAATCCCCTGCAGCCTGGTCCATCTGGTCCTCCCACCCGGATCCTCACCCTCCTCCCACATCACCGGCCCAGTCATCCATCCCTGCATCCATCCATCCCTCCACGTCAGCCGTGACTACGTCCTCACTGAGCATAGCCTCAGATCGATGGCAGACTTGCTTCGGTCATCCCGCGGCACGATCCGACAAGGGAATTTCTTCGGATGGCTCGTCAACCCATTCGTCAACTCAACTTGCGGCTCAAGTTCTCTCCCGGCGTCGTCTTTGGCTCGTTCAATCCGCATCGTGCTGAGCATGGATGCGATGACAATCCAGGCATTTGCCTCGGCCAGATGCTTCCCCACGCAGACTCTGCGCCCAAAGCCAAACTGCCCAGCAGGTAGCGGCTCGCCTCTCCCACCCTCGGCTGTGGGGAGGAATCTGTCCGGGTCAAATTCGTCCACGTTGCTGTAGACTCTGCTGTCGTGCGTCATGGCCCTCGCGTTGGCATACACGAGTGAGCCGGCTGGGATAAAATAGCCTTCGTACAAATCATCCTCCAGCGACCGGTGGGGGACCCCGACCGGCGACACTGGACACCACCTCAGCGTTTCCTGGACGATGTAGTCCAAGTATGGGAGCTTCTCCCGGTCGTCAAATGTCGGAAGTCTCTCTCTCCCGACTACTTCGTCTAGCATGTGCTGCGCCTTGTCCTGGGTCTCAGGGTGTAGTACCATGTTCAGGATGAAGACAATGAGCGTGCTCCAGGTCGTGTCCTGGCCAGCAGCATACACGGCCGCAGCCGCTCCCTTGATGTCATCGACCGATAGCTCGGGAGCCTCTCCATCCTCCAGTTGGCCCTGTCTCTGGTCAAGAAGACCTTGGATTAGTGACTGTGTCCTCTCATGTGACTCCATGACTGCCTCGTAAGGCTTATCATGTAGATTCCGAATGGCAAAGCGCCACTCACGCGCAAACTTAAGCGACCTGTCGTGGAACATCATCGGGAGATTCTTCAGCATCGGAAAGAAGTCCACAGGGGTACCACCTGGTGCTCCCCCATGGCCGAGGGCATAGCTTGCATCCATGGCAATTTGAATAAACCCATCGCTGGCCCTGCCGATCTTGATTCCGAACCCAATGCCCAAAACAACGGCTGTGGCAAAGCGCCTCATTACATTCTCCCACTCCGAGGGCTTCTCAAGGAACCCGCTGAGCATTACAGCCGCCTCTCGCTCCTGCAGCGGCCGGTACTGCACAATGTTCCTTTTCTGGAAGCCCTGCTGCAATATGCGGCGATGCATACGAAATGTCGGGCCCCATCGCAGGAACGTCAGCGTTTTCACCCATCCCATCACTTCGAATAGCACGAACCGGGGCCGGTCGCAGTAATTGGCCCCCCTCTTGTCCAGGAGGTCTGAGGCTACCCGAACCGAATTTAAGACCACCACGGTCTGCCCCAAGACATTGAAGGAGAGGATGTCCGAGCCATACTCCTTTGACCATTCCATATAGGCATACTCTGGATTGTCTGTAGGGATGATACGGAGGTGTCCAAGGATTGGCTCTCCTGGAGGCCCAGGGGGTAAGGACAGGAGGCTTTTCTTCCTTCTCGTGAGTGCAAACAAAAAGACGAACACCACGATTGCGAATAACACCAGGACTTTACTGAATGATTCAGCAATCATTTGACGCAGGGCCATGATCTCAACGAAAATCTAAAGGTTTAAAGCGACAGGCTGCTCGTAAAAGCTGATAGCTGGGCGATCCGAGATCGTGTCACGCCTGTGCAAAGATACTTTGATACTTGAGGGAGAAGCTTGAGATTATCGACAGGCGAGGTCCCTTTCTCAAAGGTGGAGAACCATATCTTGTGCGACAGAGGCGAACGCCGGTTCCAAGTTAGACAATGTCTCACTCAGCCCCTCCTTCTCACCGACCCCTATTTCTTTTTCATCTCGCATATCAAATAGAAACTAAGAGGCCTAGTGATAACTTAATCGAGTTGACATTTAAGGACATCCACCGGCAACTAATCCGGCAAGCCTGAATACCATCGGTGATGAAGTATACTGGGTGAGATGTGTCAGTAGGTTGAGGCACCGGTTAATTCGAACGACAAGGAAGGCACAGCTCGTCGCTCTCGTATTAAAACGAGCCACTCAACCTTTACTCTATATTGAACTTGCAGCCACTACCACAAAATTTTCGTTGGAATTTCATTCGTCCTTATGCTCTATCAATATGAATTTCCGCCATCGGAGATTCCTCTCGCCAGGTAGGGGGATCACATTGTTTCATCCTCATTCCCCGAGGTTCATGTCAAGAGACGTTATATCAAAGGGGCAAACATCAAGGATTACATTTATCAAACAGGTTTTGGAAACCGCTTCTCTTCCGAGGCCGTACCAAATGTCCTACCGAAAGGCATAAATACGCCTCAAAGGGTTAAGTACGATCTATACTCGGAGGAGCTGAATGGTTCATCCTTCATCGCGTCCAGGCGAGACATCCGGCATGTCTGGATGTATCGAATACGGCCTTCCACGAGCCACGGGCATATTTCAACATCAGAGATGAATACACACGTACGTACGCAAAGCTTTCACGTTCCCGCTTCATATACTCATTTTCTCTGTCACCTTATCTTACAGGATAACTATAGATTGAGTCAGTATTTTCTCCGGCAACGAGAATGTGGAACTGTCAGCCACTCAAGAGTCGTGGGATCCTTTTCCAATACCCTCCCGGCATACAAGTGACGGCATAGACTTTGTCTGCGGGATTACAACTGTTGGTGGCCAAGGAGACCCAACACTCCGTGAAGGATTGGCAATCCATATTTATTCGGCAGATTCATCCATGACCAACAGTGCTTTCTGCAACAATGATGGGGATCTTTTGATTATTCCACAGACCGGAAGGCTGGATATCCAGACTGAACTAGGATGGATGACGGTCCATCCCGGCGAAATTGCAGTCATCCAGGCTGGGATACGTTTTAGCGTCTTACTTCCTGATGGCCCATCTCGTGGGTATATCCAGGAGGTTTTTGGAGGTCATTATGACCTTCCCTAACTTGGCCCAGTGGGCTCCAATGGCCTGGCATTGCCTCAGGATTTCCAATCACCATGCGCAAGTTTCGATATAGACAGTTCAGACCTGGAGAATTATATATAAGCTGGCAGGCCAGCTACATCTCTGCAATCAGAACCACACCCCGTTTGACGTCGTGGCTTGGCAGGGTAACCTCGTGCCATACAAATATGCCATTGAGAAGTTTGTCAACCTCGCAAATGTAGAAAAAACCCAATCCGATCCCACCGTCTATGGCGTGTTGACTACGAAGTCCAAGTTTCCAGGCGTATCTCTGACAGACTTCCTCATCTTCACGCCGAAGTGGATCGCGACATCTAATACCTTTCGGCCACCATACTATCACCGCAACATGAGCACAGAGATCATGGGTCTTATATATGGCGAATACGGTGGCAGCAGCCACAAGCTAGAACCGGGGGGACTCAGCTACGAAGCTAGTTACATGCCCCATGGGGAGACATATGAGACGTGGAGATATGCCGCGACCCGGGAGCTGGCACCTGAGAGGACTTGCGAGGGCACCGCCGCGTTCATGTTTCACATTAGTGCACCAGTCTTCCTGACTAAATGGGCTCTTGAGGGCGAAGGCGCAGGGAGGCGGCATAGTCGCAGCTCCCAGGACGAGCCTTTGGACAGCTTTCAACCTCACTTCCTTGACCACCTGGAAGAGGTGAACCTGGAGCTCAAGGCAGTAGGTCTGCCCTCATTGACCTCTAACTGAGCGAAGGGGTAACAGATGCACGGTTACCTTCAGTCACAGTCATTTTTCATTCAGAATCCTCCCCTTCTTTCTCACTTTATCCTGACCAAGTCGAGTGGGCCACGAAGACGTGATACTGACTCAATCGCTTGATATCACTGCTTTCGTCAACTTTATATCGCTCTAGGTTAGACTACCTATTCGGTACGAGGCTTCTTTATTTTACTAGTGGCTATGGCCATTGCGCTATCCTCCATTCCATTCCAGACGAAGAGTTAATCATCCGATTTTGGCTGGGTGGTACGTATCGGATCTTTGAGTTTTGATGGCGAAACTTTCTCTGACAGGCGTCACCGCGTGGTCGCCTCGTAGGTAGATGATCACCGAACCAGCCGCAGCTTATAAAGCAACAACGACAGACATCACTCAAGCTGCATGGAGACAAGTAACCTGCCCCCTCTGTATACGAGTTGCTATTCCAATTGAGAAGATAGTGGCTGGCGGTCGGTAAAGCCTGCCGTCCCTGAGCATTTTCAAAACATGCTCTTTGTAAGGAAGGCAAGCTTTGACCCTACTCTCTCCCATCCACCCTTCTCCTGGATGATTCTGGTCGCGGTGTTTGGACCGTTTCTGCTGAGAAATCGGCTTAAAGGGACTCACAATCCCATCTTTATAAACATCGCAATCTAGCCGCGGGCTTCTCAATAATACTTGGCCACCAATGAATCCGAATTATACATATCATGAGGCGCCTCAGAGCCAACTCAGCCAATTTCAATATGCCACCCCAAGTCCACTTCCGGTCCCAACACAGTCCACACCACCGTCAAGGACGCCATTAAGACCCCCATCGGAGACGCCCTCTCAAATCGTCAAGCGTAGAAGCACAGTCGCTTGTAAACGGTGCAGGCGCCTTCGCTCCAAATGTGTTCACGAGACGAACAACCCCCCTTGCGAGGCGTGTCGAGACGCCGGAGTATCTCATGAGTGCTCGTTCCCCCTGCGCGGGGACAAGGATGTGGACCGGGCCTTTCGCAGACGACCAGGCCCAGCCGCTTCGTCCCCAAGAAATCCAGGTCCAGTTCAAGGGGCTGCTGGCGGAACTGGGACATTCAACTTCACACGGCCGATAGCTCCAGCCGCGCACATGCAAGTGGATCGGGAGCGGCAAAGGACCCCAGTGGGCCCCTCGATTGATGTATCCTTGGGTCTCCCAACACCCGGGATGGACCGTGACGATGTCTTGCCGCCACCTGGGGAAGTCCTAGAGGGGTGCAACGTCTTTGTCACATCTTACTTCCAGCTAGGCTTCATCCCGAAGACCATCTTTCTAGAAAGCCTTAAACAAGACCCAAACTCGGCGAGTCCATTCCTTTTGGCATGTATCCTGTCCATATCTGCACGTTTCACACCTTCCTTGGTCCAGAGATATGGAAATCCTAAAAACGCCACGGATCACTTCTTGGAAGCTGCCAAGGCTATGGTTCCCTCGGAGATGTACCAGCCATCTCTCGCACGCATCCAAGCTTTTTTTCTGCTAGCTATATCTCAGTGGGGAAATGGGAACCATGAGAGGTCCAGCATGGATATGGGGATCGCTGTGAGGATGGCTTCCATTCTGAAACTTCACCGCGAGGAGACATATTACGTGGACCAGAATAGCTCGACGAACCAGGTGATCCGCTCTGAGAGTGCTCGGCGCGTCTTCTGGATGATACAGAGCCAGGAAAATCTCCATTCTGGGTATAACACTCCAGCTCCGTTACCACTTGAGACCATCACCACGCTGCTTCCGTGTAACGAGGTAGACTTTGCTTTTGGCACTATACCCGTTGAACGATCTGCCCTGTCAGGTACGCCTCCTGCTCTGATAGATCCAAACCTTGTCTATTCTCCATCAAGATGCCTGTTCGCAACCTTGATACAGGTTCACGGTCTCTGGGGCAGCGTGGCCAGGAGGGCACGTCGGTCGGATCAAGTCATGTGCAGAGTCCCGCCATGGGATAACCAGAGCGAGCTCCAGAAACTAACGCTCGAATTGTACAACTGGGAAGTTACTCTGCCCGTCAGGCATACCTTTTCTATGGCGAACTTGAGGGGCTGGAAGGGAGAGTCTCTACATTTGGCATATCTATCTGTTACCATGGTCCTCCGTCTCTCCAACATCGTCATTCGTCGTATTTACCTCGAGGATATGCTAGCTGAGCTCAGTCCAAGTAATGGCAGCCAAACTTTGGAGCCTGAGTCACCGACAATGGGTAATGCAAATGACAGCAGAAGACCGCGTCTAGGCTCAAGTCCATTTTCCGAGGGGGGACAGCCCTACATCGAGCCAACATACGGGGGTTCACCTCCAGGGTTCTGGAAAGGCATCGCGGAAATACTCTTCAAGGATGTATGGGAACTCCACGAACAGATAGACGCCTACTTCAAAATGCGCTCCCCCGACGAAGGATTCCCCCAGATCCTCGTTTTCTGCGTGTACATGTGTGGCTCTCTCAGCTCCCACCTGATGCGATATCCCGCCCTCTGCCCAAGGATCGCAGCGAACGGCCTAGCAGAGAGGATGGCCGAAAGGAGTTTAGAAGTGCTCACTGAGCTTCATGCCGCCTGGCCAACGAGCTCGAAGTGGCAGAGGGGGCTCCAACACATCGCCACTCCTGTACAGAATATGAGCCCTTGCACAGATGGCGAAACGCCTCAGCAGCACCCATTCAACACGACCCCTGGATCTATGAATAGTGATGTGAACAGGACGTCTGTGCCGCCCATGTTACAAACATTTGCCCCAGATCATTTTCAGCAACAAGGGCCGGGAGCTGGATATCAGACATCGGTCCAGAAGCCTGATGGAATGCTGGGTGAACTGTTCAACGCGCTTCCCCCGGATAATCAGCTGTCCAAGCTTGGCAAGGCCCCGACTAACTCACTTCCAAACGAGCTCTTAGAAATGGAGATGAATGCATTCCTTCAAGGTGGTTTCCATGGCGGTCCTAGTGAGGGTTGGTTGAGTGGTGCTAACTTCTTGGGGGACTGAATACCTTGCCAGTCGATGTTGAAAAGTGTCTCAATAATGTAAGTTACGCAGCAGTTTTTCTTGTAAATTAAATTAAAAATAAGAGAGAGAAAAATTATAAATATCCGAACCCGAAGAAATCGACGAATTGATTCTATACCCATCGTCGCAACACGATCAACACAAAGGCTACATGAGGGGCATAAGAGTCCCATACTATGTCATCTATTTGCAGATATCTGTTCGTCTCATCAGTGACATGTAGCCTGTTCCATGTCCTCTTACTATATATACCTAGAAAAAGGTTTATTGATTCAACATTACGGCGTCAAAAGGGACAACACTATAGATTCAACATAACCTTCTTTTATCACACCATCTTATTGTCAGCCTGACCCCATCCGTACTAAGGTTAAAAGTTCGCCTAATGGTCACACTGGGCGGGATTGACACACCCGCCGCCATGCAGGTGGGAGCAGCAGCGTCATGCAACGCACGACTATCGAATCATACATTGTAGCATCGGCGCGTGTGTGCGTTGCATCGGGTGTCCATGGAATACGTCACTACGGGGGGCTGGGAAGCAAGGGAGATGGGACAAAGTAAGGGTAAATGCGCCTACAGATCTCGCCGGGCTACATGACCAAAATGATATAGTTTGCCCTTTGGGGCGGAAAACTTGATGCTCCATGTTGATAGGGCCAATCATTCAGAAGCCTGCCTGTATGATGATTCTTGTACACCATGAGGGCATGTTTCATTCAGGTTCCTCGCGGCCGCTGGATAGAACGACTCAAGGGTCTGGATAGCGGGCGAGTGACGTAGGATTTTGTCGACTTCTCGAGTTCTGTGGCTATTTCTTCCAGTCTTCTTTGCACCGCGGAGGCTCTGCAGTAAGACACAGGACGCCTTGCGCCACATTCACTGCGGCAGCGGTGTTACACCCGCATGCCGACTCCTGCGAGGTCTTGGGATACGGATGGCTTGTGGATTGGGCAGGCTGCCCTGCGCATCCTCGTATTGACACCTGCGAGGTGTAGATTTTGAGATGCTCGTGTCTGTATATATATTATTTTCACGTTATTTTCCTACTGTGGCCATCGTAAAAAGGGCCTGCTCATGAAAATCCTCCTATTTGTCTCATTTCTTTTGTCAACCAATTGGTCTTCTACCTTCTGCTGGCGTACGGCTCAGACTTCCTACAGTGATTCCTACAGTGATCAAGCCGCCCCGGTGTTAGTGACTCCTCCTGAGTTTACGAGCTCGTTCAAGGCCACGGTATGGGTCTCTAGCGTCTGATTCAAGAATACGGGGGATGAGTAATGGAAATGATGATGGGGAAGAATTATATTTTCTTGAGAACCTTTCAGCTAAGAGTTAGCCGAGAGAGATGATAAATTAAGAACATGCCTTGCATGTATCAATATTGAAGAGCAGCAAGCGATGCGGCGTAGGAGTTGTCCGTAGAAGAGGCTACATATCTAAGAGGCTACATATCTCACAGTCTTACAGATTCTGTACTGCTATTGTGGAACAGCAGTCGTTGGACCTGGCTGTGCTGGTTGCAGTGACAAGCCTGGATTAGGTATTATTCGAAGCAAGCAGATGCTGTGTCCTCGGAGAAGCCAGGCAGGGTGGTTGGAAACCACGCCTTCATAAAAGGTCAACCCTATACGAACACGTCTCATATCTACGGATGCCATCTCGCTCGCTTGTCTAGGTTATGGTGATTTGAAGGCCATTTGTCTAGGGTCGCTGCGTGCAGGGAACACTCCTTGCTCTACGACGGTGGAGACTTGCAAATTCACACAAAGGACGAGGAAAAGGTGATATCCATGACTAGGGAACACAAAATAATGGGGAGAATGATAAGTCATTCACAGTGATTACTGCTGATGCCTGGTTAAAAACGGCATGAGCCATGCCCTGTGACGTGTCAGCGCCATGTGTGCCTACATCCGCCTGTCAGTGAGAGTCAAGACAGAAATACCTTACCTACCCCACCGGCTTTACGTTTTCCTTCATCATGTACGCCAAATAATTGGTAGCAGATGACTCGGAGCATCAAGCTCTTTAAGCTTGAATGGTGGCATCACCGCAACTATCATCCAAGCTCATTAGGATGACTGAGAGTGAGATTAAAACCGGATCGATTGCGAAGAAGATTCTAATCAGCAACGAAGGTCATGATTCAATCGCCACGATGTTGCCAGTAAATATAGAACCAATGTGTATTTTGGGAAGAGGACGACGGCCCGGATCCTTCAGGCCGCCGCCCATGCTCAAAGTGCATGGCCAGCCCTATGTCCAGGCTAATCCTACCCGGTTCGTTGAGAAGCCGGGGTGCCTAACGAGTTGTTTGTGTCTCTCCGCTCGAGTGTCAATCTTTTAACACGGGTGTATTGACTGGTCTGATTGGATGTGTCTCACATCATCCAGAGACAAAAGACCTTGTTGGTTGACAGACGGAGAAGCATTGTCGCACAAACACTCCGTAGACTGGGTTATTGTCTGGGATGCACTGCAGGCATGCATGATTGAAATAGAATGAAGGAAGCACAATGGAAGGAAAAGAAACAAATGAGAACAAAGAAGTGATCCATCTTTGTTGAAGATTTCCGTTGTCTTGGTACCTAGGCAGATGATCATGCAGTCTGGTTCGTACGCATGCATACTGCATACATCACCACCGTTGGATTTTGATGTTCAATTGGTTTCGTAATCTGCAATTTGTTCAGAATTTATTGCGATTGATTGAAAGTGAAAAGATCAGCCCTTCGGAACTTGCTGGGTTCCCTACACGTCTGCAGGCCTTCTTGACTTACCGTGTCTGGGCATATTTTACGGGCCACTCACCGTTGTTCTCTTCTCACAGGCACTAGCCGGGTCCTTTGCTGACATGCGTGAGGGCCAGTTTTTGAATGGAGAAACGTGGTACGCAACCTGAAGTGCCAAGACCTGGGATCGCGTCTTCAGCCCTTCAGGACGGCCCGAGGCCTGTCATTTCAGCCTGGGAGAATAATCACAAATAATGATCTTCTGCACTTGTCTCATCTCTAATAACGGAAAGGCATGTATACAGTATACTCCAGACTGACCATAGCAAGGTTTGCTATCCCAGACCGCGTGAGAATAAGATGACGAGAAAGCGGGGAGCCAAGAGACGGCGATGTTTGACGGTACCTTATGTAGAGGGAGTAAATTAATACGACGACACATCATACATGCAACTCGCACACACCACACACCAAACCATCCAAGATGAAGCTGCGATTGGCCGCGCATGGGCCAGCCAGCGGCCGGCTGAGGTGGTTCGCTTTCGTGTCTGGCACCGTATATCGCGCGCAGGTGGTCCAGCCGAGTCTCGAGCTGTCCAGGCTGGATTGCCCCCTAGATCTAACAGTCTACAAGCTACAAGAAGCGCTTTGAGGATAAGGAGATCTGGACTTAGAAAAGCCGGTGCATTGTGTCCAATATCTAAGCACAAAGATCGACGATATAGGCTCCAAGATCCAAGCACTAAGGTTACTGTCAGCGCCCCAAGTTGTTTAGAGTGGCACCCGACATGCGGGAAAGCAAGCAGCAAGTCAGTAGGTGTGCCATTGCACATGGCTGGCCGCTCGAGTCTTTGACCAAACAGGCCAGTGGACTGCATTCTGGGCATTTCCCTAATCGGGTTCGAACCCTCCGTCTTGCCGGACAGATTTCGAATGCGAGTAGCGACTTGTACAGTAGGTAGGTATCATTTTTCTGTGTCGGTAGGGTATGGAGTCCTTTATCTCCGACAATCCCGGACTGGCTTCCCCAGGGTTTTAAGGTGGACGAGATGACTGGTCTCCGATTTCTCCAATGCCCACGGGTGCTGTGCTATTAATAAGATGTGGTAGTATCTATGCCTCGTTACGTGTAATTTTTTTAGGGTCCAGGGAGCGCGAACTGTGCCCGAAAGCCTGGTCCTTTGGTCCCTTGATCCATTGCCAAGTACTGCAGCAGCGATTAACAGCTGAGAGGTAATTACGGCTGCTGCTCTGTCGACACTTTCATCCGAAATTGTGTGTCCCCTGCTCAGTCGGCCGTCTTTGCAGTTGGCCGTTTCAGTGGGTAGCTTATCATCTTACGAGGCTTCCCCCTTGGGTGCATGGCATTATGAGTGAGAAATCCTTTCTCTGGCCGTCGGGGAGGGTAGAAAGAATCACTAGTAAAAAACAGCAGTGGTTGTTCACTGCCGAAAGTTCCTCATCGACTGCTAAAATACCAGCCCAATGCCCCGACTCCAGCGCAGCCTTATTAGCCTTGCAAGTGCATAATCAGGTACCTCGCTGTACTTGGTGTGATTGCCCAGATTCTGGAGGGTGCCCAATTGCCTCTAGACCCCACCGCCACACACGACCACCCGCAAGACCAGACCTGCTAGCGGTACACCGCCCACCCGTGCCACCACCGCGATTAGGCGGATTGATGTGCCCCAAACGGCGTCCTGATCGCTGCTAGTGAGCAGGTAGGACTTGAGCTGAGCCTCCGTGTGGCTGGCGAGGACCGGGCAAAACCGACTGACCAAGTCGAGTCGAGGACGTGGGAAGCAAATTCCAGGTGCGACCAGCAGACGACTCGAGCGGCCTATCGTGGAGTAATTAGGGGTTTTCGAAGAACCTGTGGAGCGGCATCTTGGACCTGCCTGTTTGCAAGTACCTGCCAGGTATCTCAGCCAGGCAGGTAGGGTCTGGTACCAGTGCTAACGGTACCGATTGAGCCAGCCACAGCCCATTGCACCTCATCCCCCCCACCTTTCTTTCGCACCTCACCAGCACTCGAGCTCTTCCAAACCACCACCTGATTGACCACAGTCGGTCTGACAAGCCTCACCTGACGGCCTCTCAGCTCGACGGCTCTTCACTCGTTCCATCTGACTCACCATTCACGTCCTTCCGCCTTGGTTCTCTGCCGCTTCCCGCTCGTCTTCCCCAGCGGCGACCGTTCCGTCCAGCGTAGAACACCTCACATCGGCTGCCGACGCCTTTCGA